TTTTTTTTTTTTTTTAAGAGAGAGAGAGAATTTTTTTAATATTTATTTTTTAGTTTTTGGCGGTCACAACATCTTTGTTTGTATGTGGTGCTGAGGATCGAACCCCGGCCGCATGCATGCCAGGCGAGCACGCTACTGCTTGAGCCACATCCCCAGCCCCCATTCCTTTCTATTTGTTACAAGTTTCCAAAAAGTAGGAGAGTACCTGACAGGGCAGATAGATTCATTTAGGCCCGGATTCCTGCAGACTGTCATGTTGACCGTCTACATATCCTTGACCATTCTGTGTCGAACATCTAAGCAACTCCAGTGCCCTGGCCTGCTGGCTCCAGCTGGCGAGAGCACTGGGCCTGTGAGGTTTCTGTGGCAATGAAGGCAGAGGAGTCTGTGAACAGCAGACTGGAGGAGACATCAGCACCCAGTGGGTGAGCTGCTGACTCCCTGGCTGCGAGATAGAACATATCTTTTGCTGTTTTTCATTAAAACACACTTGTGTGGTACATGTGAGGAAATGTCACCAAAACTGCAGCCACACCATGCTCAGTCGCTTTTCACTCCTCCAGAGCAACAGGCTGCCTTAGAGAAATCCTCATTCCTCTGTTGGACAGAGGAGATGTGAAGAAATTGGGGTATTCTGCTTCTGAGTATTAATTGTCATCCTTTCCACACATTTGCCTTTTCAGGAAAGTCAGTTCTGTGTCCTCAGAGGACCCCACTTCAGTTCAGGAGCCCCGGGCAAAACCTGGTTTCCAGCTTCTACCCCGGACGTCTGTATAGTACGTCGCAGGCTGCTGAGGACAAGAAGGAGGAGCCCCTGCATTCCATCATTAGCAGCACTGAGACCGTGCAAGGTGATGTGGCCTGGGGAGTCTTTCTTGGGTCATTGGTGGCAGGGTAGGGGAGGTTTTTGAGGCAGAGGCAGTGATTAACAGAGCTGCTTATTGACTACAGCCCCATGTAGGTCTCAGTTGTGGGGAGCGATCCCTAGACTAGTGAGTCCTCCATTTCCGTCCCAGTAAACAACTTCTGGCTTTCTCCTGTTGCGCCTTGCCCCCTCTGGTGGTCACCCAGGAGTGTGCTGAGTGGCGATTCACTTCTGCTAATGATCATGGAAGCAGAGTATTGGCCCAGCTTCCACAGGACTGAACTCTGAAGTACGGCAAGTTAGCCTCCAGAGCCAGGCCTGAAGGGGTTCTGTTTCTGACTTTTAAATGAGGCAATAAGAACAGAATCTTTGATGTTGAGAGAACTGAGTTTTTGTCATTTTCCTTTTGTAAGTAATTTAATAGAATGTCACTTTTTTTGGAGACCATGATGCAGGATCTGGTTGTCAGGGCCAGCCTGATTCTCATGACCAGCAGCTCTGAGAAGCTGGCCTCCACAGCCCACTTAAGTGTGTTGACCTCATGTGGGAGAGCTTTTGCACATGCACCCACTCCTTTCCGTGGAGACAAGAGTCATGTGGAAGATGTCCTGCTCCTGAGACCCCTTACCTAAGAGATTTTATTTTCTGTCCACTTTTCTTTTTTGTTCACTCTTGAAGAATATTTAAAACTTAGCTGGGCATGGTGGAACACACCTGTAGTCCCAGCAACTTGGGAGGCTGAGGCAGGAGGATCAGGATCACAAGTTCAAGGACAACCTCAGCAACTTAGGAAGGCTCTGAGAAACCTAGCAAGACCCTGTATTCAAAATAAAAAGAGCTGGGGATTCAGGTCAGTGGTAAAGTGCTCCTGGGTTCAGTCCCTACTGCCAAAAACACAAAAAGGAATATTTAAAACTTAGAACCTTAAACTTTTTTTTTTTTTTAAAGTTGTCAATGGATCTTTTGTTTATTTATATATTTATGTGGTGCTGAGCATTGAACCCAGGGGCTTCACACAATGCCTGGCAAGTGCTCTACCACTGAGCCACAACTCCAGCCCTTAAATATTGTTTTGAGTGGTATTATAGCATGTTCTTGCACAGAGATGGAAACATAGCTTTATTGGCTGCATCTGTGATTGATTACCAGGGTCCATCTCCAGACACGAGTTCCAGGCGGAGACAAAGAAGCTTTTGGATATCGTGGCCCGTTCCCTATACTCAGAAAAAGAGGTGTGGTGCCATCTATCGCTTTCAGGTCTCACATGTTTTGTGGCAGAACTATTCTTACACTATCTTGCCAAGGTGCCGGGATATGTCTTAGTTGTGAGAATGCATTAGGCTGCAGATAGGCCCTGGTCCTAATCTACCACAGGGAGTATTTTCACCAAAATCTGCTTCAGCTTCATGGATAAGTGTATCCAAATGATTTTGGAGGGGCTAGATTGACTCTGGGAGAGTCAATCTGGGAGTTATTTGAATTCTGCTGATAACTTAAAAATCTTTCAAATGCTGGCATGAGCTGTGCTGAGGTCCATTTTTGAGGTGCTGTTGGTGTGCCCTGGGGCCCCTGTTTGTGTACCTCTTTGCTGGCATGACTACATGCAAGTCTAGTGGGACAACAGCGGCTGGAGGACACACTATCTGTGTGGCATAGAGCAGGGAGGGTGACAAAAGAACTTTTCAAGGAGATTAAAACACATTTAAGGGTGACGGGACTTGGATAAAGCAGAGAACAAATAAGCTGTAGGTTCTATGCTAATCACTGCTGGGAAGAAGGGTAAAGCACAATGTACAAAGTGGGAAGGGGCTTTTCAGGAATGCTCGCAGGTCTCCTCTGCCTGGCCAGCTGCCTCCCCCACCTCACCTGAGTGCTCTAGTATAGTTTGAGTGGGAGCTCTGCGTGGGGCAGAGGTACCTCCCAGACTGTGAGAGGACTGTTGGGCCTGGGGCCCTCTTCCTCTAGACCATGGGGGGCTCTGATGTTTGATGACCCCACTAGATGAAATGAAGCAGTAACCCTCTTAAGTAGGAGAGAAAGATGTTGAGGACGATATTTTGTCATCGCTGTGCAAGAGACAGGAAAGAAAATGGCTATAATTTGAGTTAATAGACATGTAATAATATCAGGCCTGACTGAAAACCCCAAAGGAAAGATCAGTAGAAGTCAGTTTGCCACAGAAAGCTGTGCTGGGGAGGAGCGACCCACCCTTCATGTGTGGGCCTGCCTTGACCATCTGTGTTTGGGAGCTGAGTGATCTGTATCAGGTCTCAACTTGGAGCTAGTGCAGATGCAGCCAGCCAGGCAGGTCCCGCAGAGTCAGTGCCCTTCATTATCCTTCCTCTTGCTTCTGTCCTGTAGGTGTTTATACGGGAGCTCATCTCCAATGCCAGCGATGCCTTGGAAAAGCTGCGACACAAGTTGGTGTCTGATGGCCAGACCCTGCCAGAAATGGAAATCCACCTGCAGACAGATTCTGAGAAAGGCACCATCACCATCCAGGTACCTCCCTCTTGATGCCCAGACCCACTTCCCACCTCTCAGAGTTGACCAGGATGGTCTGGTGGGTAGCAGCCCTGCTTAACATGCTGACACAGGGAGGCCACTCCTGCCTTCCAGTTACATCTAGACTCAAGTGATACATGGACTGTCCTTCCTGTTCTGAGGGTTCCTGCCTTAAATTTACTATAAATTAACACATGCCCATCATAGAAAATTTGGAACACACAGAAAGCCGAAGAGAATTTAAAATCACCAGTCTGGCTTGTTTTTTTATTATCTTTTGAAGAGCAAAAGATTATTGTTGTTGTTTTCTTTTTTCAGTGCGGAGGATGGAACCCTCATGCAGGCAAGTGCTCTGCCACTAAGCTAACCTCCATCCCCTTAAGTTGTTTAATTTTAAGGAAGTCAAGTTTATGACTTTTGCCTATTATACTTCATGCTTTTAGTGATCTGTTTGGGACAGATTTTTTTTTTTTTTTTGTACTGGGGATTGAACTTGGGCACTTGACTACATCTCCAGCCCTATTTTATATTTTATTTAAGAGACAGAGTCTCACTGAGTTGCTTAGTGCCTTATTTTACTGAGGCTGGCTTTGAACTCGAGATCCTCCTGCCTCAGCCTCCCTAGCCACTGGAATTATAGGCATGCACCACCACGCCTGGCTTGTCTGGGACTTTTTTGCTTCTTCCAAAGCCAAAAGTTTCTCCTGCATGGTCTTCTAGAAGGATTGTAGCTTTAGCTCTTACATGTAGGTCTGTGATCCATTTCCGGTGAATCTGGGTGTGGTTTGAGACTGCCATTGGCTTCATGTGTGTGGTGGGCAGTTGCTTCAGCACTGTCTGTTTAAGTACTTCCATCCCCACTGCTCTGTCTGGGAACCTTGGTTAGAAATTGGGGGCACCACAGCTTAGTGCCTGTGATCTGTGTGTCTGTCCTTAAGTGTCCGCGTCCTGGCAACATAACTGTTGTAGCTTATGGTAAGGCTTAAATTTAGGTAGTGTAAGTTTTCCGGCTTTGTTCTTTTTCAGTTTATTCTAGGTTCTTTGTGTTTCTATATAGAATTTGGAATTCTCTTGTCATTTTCCACAAAACCTGTGAAAATTTTCACTGAGTTTCAATGAATCTATAGATCAATCTCAGAAGAAATCACTGTAAGCTGAAAACAGGAACCATTAGGTGCTTTTTCTCCTTCACATCAACCCCAGCAAACACTCTACTGCTGAGCTACATCCCCAGCTCTATACTAGAACTTTCAACAGAATCCTTAGGGGAAGGGCCATGAGGCTGGGGTGTGGCTCAGTGGTAGGGCATTTACCTGGCCTGCAGGTGGCCTTGGCTTCAATTCCAGCACCCAAAATGAAGAAAGTTTTAGTGCATGAAAGTAAGCATTTTAGTGTAATTATATTTAATGACTAATACCAACCAGAAGCCAATTTAAATCAGCTCTTTATCTGTAATTATTACATGTATCACAATAAATGGATCAGGCCAGGATTTGGACTCTTCTACGAGCACCTCAGAATTTACTAGAAGCCTCTTAGTGTTCCATTTCTTGGTGGGTCTCAGGGCCTGTGTAACAGGTGCAAGGACATCCTGACGGCAGCCAGGGGCTACAGCTGCCCCATGGGCTGTTCTCAGGAAGAACACCTAGAAGTGACTTGCTATAAGAGGGCAAAAGCTGCTTCTGCATGCTTTCCCACTTCGCAAGTTGATGGTGGCATGGCAGTTTGTGCCTTGTGTGGGGTGTCTGCACGTGGGAGCAGGCCAGCCAGCAGAGGTCTGAGGAAGAGGGAGGGCCCGTGGCAGCCTCACTAGCATGTCGCCTGTCTCTGTCTGTTGGGGCTGTTACATTGATGAGCAGCACTAATGGTTGCTGGAGTTATGAGGCCGGGCAGTCCACAGCCACACCAGCAGACGTGGTGGGTTTCTGTGTGTACACATGAGGCAGAGGAATCCTGTCCCCTTTCCTGAGGGGAGCTGCTGGTGGCCACTGACCAGTCTCCTCATGACATCACCACCTGGGGGCAGGGGCATTGGGGAGTGCAGGCCGTAGCCCGTGTGTGCCAGGCCGAGGGTGCAGAGCTGGCTACATCTAGGCAAGAGTTGTTTTCCTTCCAGTTACTGATGGAGCGTCTCCTCCTCGGTTGGTTTTCATTTGCTTGTGCTGGGGATGGAGCCCCACTGCGCTCTGCCCATCCCCCTGAATTGTCTTAATAACAAATCTCCCACCCCTTCCAGTGTTCTCCAGGGACTCAGGGCTCACATAACTGGACTTTTCTGATGTGTGTGAAGTGTACTTCCCAGATCCCGTCTGGGCCCCACCACTGAGGCTATTTGTGCCGCATGGGCCATGCTTGGCACTTAGTGTCTCTCTCCTCAGGACACTGGCATCGGGATGACACAGGAGGAGCTGGTGTCCAATCTGGGCACAATTGCCAGATCAGGGTCAAAGGTAAGATGGCGCAGTCACTGCTTCTCCTCCGCAGGGCGGCCCTGGGTGCCAGGCTAGTGAGGCCTGGTCAGTTGGGCCCCCCAGAGGGCGCTGTGAGAGCAGCGTTGTTTCCCTTTAGCGTCACAGGTCCCAGGCACTGCTGGGCAGGAAGGGTTCAGACAAGCACTTTGCCCAGAGTGGGAAACAGGATGGCAGATTCATAGCTGTCAGTCTATTTTGAGGGTGCCATTCACCTCCTGGTGCCTTTCTGTGGCAGCTACTGGGCCCCTGCCTGAGCTGTGTGGGCTTGACACCACAGCAGAGGTGGACTGCCTCCTCCCAGGCAGCCCGGGCCACAGTCTACAGGTATAGCAGTTCTGCTCTGCCAGCCACACGGGGATCATGTGGCCACCAGTGTGGCACAATCTGATGCTGGGAAGAGATAAGTGGTCCAAGAGTCCTCTCAGTGTGTCTGTTCCAGCCTAACACAGGCTGGAGGCCCTTGCTGCCTCTCCTGGTGACTGAGTGCTTTTCTGTTTGTTTTTATTGGCCTAAGTGGTACCATAGTCAGTCCAAAGCGACTCAGAAATTTCTGCTTTTAAAACTTCTGTGAGGGGGCTGGGGATGTGGCTCAGAGGTGGAGCACTCGCCTTCCATGTGTGAGGCACCGGCTTCAATTCTCAGCACCACATTAAAAAAGTAAAGATATTGTGTCCACTTGCAACTAAAATAAATAAGTAAATAAATAAATGGGGGGAAAAAGAACTTCTGTGACCATGATGGCAGGGATAGTATGCGCTATCCTGTGTGGCAGCTGTGAGCTAGGTGTGGCCGCTCACATTTATTTATTTATTTAAAAAAATTCTTTTTTAGTTGTAAACACAACACCTTTATTTATTTATTTATTTATTTATTGAGAGAGAGAGAGAGAGAGAATTTTAATATTTATTTTTTAGTTTTTGGCGGACACAACATCTTTGTTTATATGTGGTGCTGAGGATGGAACCCGGGCCGCATGCATGCCAGGCGAGCGCGCTACCGCTTGAGCCACATCCCCAGCCCCGCTGCTTACATTTAAATGCAGTAAGAGGAGATAAAATGTCAAGTTCAGTTCCTCAGTCACATTCCAGGTGCTCCACAGCCCCTTGGTGCAGATGTAGAATGTCCGAACCTTGGCAGGACACTGGGCTGGGCTGAGTTGGCAGAGCAGCAGAGCATGTGCATTTTGCTTCCTGTTTAGCCTTCAGAATGTTGATAGCTCAGAACAAGGAACGCTCTGCAATCACTGTCAGCCTACTGTGTGCGGGGGTGCCACAACTACAGATTCAGCCAATTTTAAAAAGTTTTTTTTTTATCATTATGTCTGTACTGAACACGTACAGTTTTCTTGTCATTGTTCTCTAAACAGTATGGTATAACTGTTTACACAGCATTTGCATTGTATTAGGCATTTTAAGTAATCTAGAGGTGATTTAAAATACAGGGAAAGATGTGTTATAAGCAGATGATACACCATTTTATACAAGGGACTTCAACATCATGGGCTTTTGTATCTGTGGGGGTCCTGGGACAGCTGTGCTGGGTTTGTGCTGTCTCCCCCAAGGCTTCAAGTCTTGGAGACACAGGGCAAAAGACAAACTGAGGAGAGTCTTCATTCTTTACTCAGTGACCTGATAGGTGGAGGCACTACTCTGCCCACTCAAGTGTGACCTGCAGGTTTGTCCTTGCCTTGAGACAAGCGGAAGTGTGAGCTTTATGATGAATAAGGACCCTCCCGCTTTGGCCCAGCTGTGTGTCTTTAGGTGGGTTGTCCCAGCTCTTAGTTATTTATGTATAGCATGGGAAGAGGGCATCTCAGCATGGTCGCCTCAGCATTTACTGAGATCTTGACTGTGCTAGAGAACCTACACAGAAAGTAAGAATGTCAGCTCCTGGTGCCAGAGGGGCAGCCTCCCTATGACCAGCCTTTGTCCCCTCAGGCCTTTCTGGAAGCACTGCAGAACCAGGCGGAGGCCAGCAGCAAGATCATCGGCCAGTTTGGAGTGGGCTTCTACTCAGCCTTCATGGTGGCCGACAGAGTTGAAGTCTATTCCCGCTCAGTGGCCCCTGGGAACCCAGGTTACCAGTGGCTATCAGATGGGTAAGTTAGGAAGCAAGCCTCCATCACATGGGCAGTGTCTTTGCCCTTGGGAACACTTGGAGTCAATGTTACCTAACACTTGAGTTTGACCACTGAGTTTGGAAAGAGACTTTATTGAGAAAATGCAAAAAACAGGTTTATGGGTGTGAAACCTGACTCTCCTACTCTGGGAAGGTAGTTACTTTGTGGCTCCAAACAGTCTGTGTGACCGGACACCAATCACTGTGCTCTGTGGTGCTGGCCCGTCCAGGCTGAGCCCCTTCAGTGGCTGGGTATGGGATGGGCCTTCCTCCTGGGCCATCCTGTAGACGGCCTCTCTGGCCTGGGTTCTATGGGGGCTTCTCTGGTTCTCCCCACCCTCTAGGTTCTTGTCCTTAGTACTCCACCCCATCGGCAGGTTCTAGGATGCCTCTGTGAAACAGGTGGTGGCACTCTTTAAGAGCCACTTGCTCATTTCCTGCTCCCATATGTGACGAGTTGATTAGGTAGGTGTTTTAGCAGCACTTCAGCTGTGTTTGAGGAGAGTGGGATCTTGGCCAAGTTTAAGCATTGTTTTCAGCTGGTCCCAAAACTTTGTTGTATTTTTTAGGGTACAATTTAAAAACAGTTTATATATAAACTTTTTTTAAATTTGTTCTTATCAGTTATAAATGACACCAGAATGCTCTTTGATTCATTGTACACAAATAGAGCACATGTTTTCACTTCTCTGGTAGTACGGGAAGTAGGGTCACACCATTCATGCAATCATACATGTACCTAGGGTAATGATGTTCGTCTCATTCTACCCCAAAACTCTGAGTTTGACCTTCTGGCTGTGCATAGCAGCCCCAGGGGCAGGAGGCCTGGCTGGAGCATAGCTTGCCTCCTCCCTTAGTCCATATTGAGGTCTCTAAATTTCATGAAAGCGGCTGCTCAGCATGAACATGGCCAAGGCATCAGCAAGGCCCTGTCTGAGGGCATCCCCTCCTCCCTCACTTCTGAGGTGGCTTCTGCTTTTCTCAGGGACCCCTGGCCTCTGCTGCAATTCAGAAACAGCAGAGGTATCTAATGCTGATTTATACTTGGGCCAGGCCTCACTGGTGCCCTGGGTCTGCTTTCTGGTCACTCAAGCCCAGGAAATTCTCCAAGGGAGCCTGGGGGCTTGTACCTGCACCCCAGCACAGAGGTTCTCATCTGGTGTGCACTCTGTGACCTGAGGGGTACTGCCTAGGTCAGAAGAGGCACATCTGGTCTCCCACATGTTGACCTGGGCTCTGCTCAGGAAAGCAACTACCTTTGCCCTACAATGACACTGCCTTTCTTTTCCTTGGGTCTTAGCTCTGGAGTGTTTGAAATCGCTGAAGCTTCAGGAGTCAGAACTGGAACCAAAATTGTCATCCACCTCAAATCAGACTGCAGAGAGTTTGCCAGTGAAGCCCGGGTTCAAGGTGAGTGGCACCTGGGCCCCAGCTGGGCTCTGGGACTTGTGTGGTAGCCAGGTGGGTTGGTGAGGCAGACATAGCTGAGAAGGGCTGGGCAAGGACTGGGCTTCCAGTTTGGCCAGTAGTTCTGCAGAGGACAAAATTCTCACTGACTCTTTCAGAGAACCAAAGGCAAGGCTTGCTGGCAGACAGGGTGTGTAGCCCTCCATCTTTTGTAAACTTGGTGGGTCTGACAGAGAGCGCTGAGCTCTCTGATGCGGTTAGCCTACATGGTCTCACAGCAGGCCCTGGAAAGTCTGCTCTCTCCAGGTTCTGCCACCGCCTCCATGCAACTGGTGGGCAGGACCTGTGTCTTTGTCGGACCCTGGCCTGCACCTGTGAGTTGGGTGCAACTCAGCAAGCCTTGTCCTCACCCTGGAGCAGCTTTGCTTTTCTCTGTCTCCACCTCCTGCAGATGTGGTGACCAAGTACAGTAACTTCGTCAGCTTCCCTCTGTACCTTAATGGAAGGCGGATTAACACCTTGCAGGTGAGGCCCTGAGCTGCCTACACGGCTCAGGCAGCCCTGGAGACAGATGTGCCTGCTCCATGGATGGAAGGGTAGAGATGACAGGGAGTCACTGCCCAGAATCCCAGAACGAGGCATCATTTGTGGAGAGATGAGATTGGGGGTGCTGGCAGGGTTCCCAGTCCCAGTGCCACCCAGTCCACATTCTGTGTTGGTAGATGGCATGATTCTCCCTCACGCTCTGCTCCAGCCTCCTGGTTGGCCCTTGCCCAACTTCACTGCCCTGGGGAAGGGACACTTGTGCCAGAGCCTTTTAGGTACTAGAGGGGATGGAGCTGGAGGTGGAGGGTAGGCCCCTCCCCACCCCAGGCTGTCAAGGGGCATGCACTCCTCCACCAACCTATGGGGTTGTGGTGGAGATGCAGCTCTCTGTGCTCCCCATCCATCTCCATCACCAGGCCCTCTGGACGATGGACCCCAAGGATGTCAGCGAGTTGCAGCATGAGGAATTCTACCGTTACATCGCTCAGGCATATGACAAGCCCCGCTACACCCTGCACTACAGGACAGACGCACCCCTCAACATCCGGAGCCTCTTCTATGTGCCAGAGATGGTGAGGCACTTAGCTCAGACCTGCAGGGCCCTCACATGCTACAGCTGCGGAGATACCCCTCTGCTCTCAGAGCCAGGGCGTTCCTGTGGCCACAATGATGGCCCCAAATGGGCACATCTTCATGCAGACATACCACCACATTGGCAGGATTAGAGCAAAAGAAAAGCAGAGGCCTCTGGGTGGGGAATGCAGTCTCTTCAGTCTCCCACATGCAAGGTTGTCTCATGTGACATCTTTTGGAGCAGGCCTGGGCTCAGGCACTTGCATGGTGAGCCCGGGGCCCTTGGAGCCGCTGTGCTGGCCGGGCAATGCAGGCTGTGTTGCAGGTCTTGTGAGGCTTTCCCCAGGATGCTGCAGAAAGGGCTCTGGTGGATCCACAGGGTCACTGTGTGCTTCCACTCGTCCCTCAGCCTGGCTCGTGTGGGCATATAGGTTCCTGTGCCTTCACCTGACCAAACTGTAATAGTGCCGGTTTCTTAGTATCCCTTTGAGAAAGAGCTGGACAGTGTCCTCCCTCCAGGTGAGGTCCATGGACTACAGCCTCAGCATCCCCTGGGACTTGTTACAAATGCTGAGAGTCTTAGCCTATCAAGACCTCCTGGATCAGAGCCCACATGAGCAGGACCCAGTGCTGAGGCAGAGTGGGCACCAATAGCCGTTTTTTTTTTCTTTTTCTAAATTTTTTTGGAGATGGAAGTACTGGTGTGGTGATGTGTGTCCTAAGGATGATTTATATAGTTTTAAATATTTGGGGTGCTGTACTGCTGAGCCACTTCCCCAGCCCTTTTAATTTTGAGACGGGGTCTTGCTAAATTGCTGAGGCTGGCCTTGAACTTGTGATCCTCCTGCCTCAGCATCCCAAGTAACCAGGATTACAAGTGTGCATCACTGCACCCAGCTCACCCCAGCACATGTTACTGTAAGAGCAGAGAGCACTGGGTTTGGCCCTGCAGCCACATGGTCTCTATGTGGCCACTGACCCTGCTACTATGGTGAGAGAGCCCCATAGACGGTGCCTTGGGAACCACTCAGGCAGGGCCTCTGGGCCTGTAGATGTTAAGATATGGTTACAGGGGTTGGGGCTGTAGCTCAGCGGCAGAGCACTTGCCTAGCATGTGTGAGGCACTGGGTTCAATCCTCAGCACCACGTAAAAGTAGACAAAGGCATTCTGTCCATCTACAACTACAAAAAAATTTTTTAAAAAAGATACAGATCTTTTCACATGTCATTAATTATTTAATTTTCCCCCCAGATATTTAAAACTGTATAAATCATCCTCAGGTCATACAGATAGGCAGTGAGCCAGATTTGGCCTCTGGGTTGTGGTTTTCTGACCCCAGATTTATCACCAAGTTTGGCTCCATTCTTGGAGACATGCACGTCCTTTTATGTTCTCCAGTGGGAGTGGGTTGGGGAGGGTAGCAGCTGCCCAAAGAAGGCCACCCCACACCTTGCAGAACTCTCATGTTAGTGTTATGGAAGTGTCCTCCCTGTTCTGGGGCCTCTGGTGGAGCTGTCCCCTGGCCTTCCCTGCCTTCTGGGTTCTTTACCCAGGGCAGCCTTGGAAGGGCTGTCTCGCATCCTGCCACTGGGCTCTGCCTCCCTGTGTCTATCGTGGATTTCTGCCACTGCTCCTGACCTTGTCCTTTTGTTCTCAGAAACCTTCCATGTTTGACGTGAGCAGGGAGCTGGGCTCCAGTGTGGCACTGTATAGTCGCAAAGTCCTCATCCAGACCAAGGCTGCAGACATCCTACCCAAGTGGCTGCGCTTCGTTCGAGGTACTGTGCTGGACTTTGGCCCTGAGTCTGTGAGTGGTTTCCTATGTGGCCTCACATTGCTCACTGTTTGCAAAAGCGGGCTGCTGGTCTGGCTCTCAGATCTGCTTTCCTAAGCATGCCTCAGTGCACTGGCCGTATTTATGGAGTGGCTGAGAAATATAGCTCAGAGTCTCTAGGACTGTTTCCAGCCTCCACATTAGTTGTAGTTGATTTGGGTAAGAGGGCAGGGGAGATTGAGTTGAGTTCTTTCAGTGATTAGAATTATCATGTGAGTTTCAGATTCATGCATGAATTACCTTGAACTTGAGATCATAAGTTGAGTAAAGAATTCAGTGCTTAGATCTTTATATCATTGTAGCACAAAGGTGTCTACTGTCCCTGATGTACCTAGGATTTTTTTCACCTTTTTTTTCCTCCCTTTTAACCAGGGATTGAACGCAGGGGTGCTTTACTACTGAGCCACATCCCCAACCCTTTTTACATTTTATTTAGAGTCAGAGTCTCTCTTAAGTAACTTAGAACCTTGCTAAATTGCTGCGGCTGGCTTTGAACTTACAATCCTCCTGCCCCAGCCTCCCCAGTCACTGGGATTACAGGCATGTGCCACTGTACCTGATGCAGCTAGAATTTTTAAGGTCGAATCCCGAGTATGTTTGCCAAGTGTCGAAGGGCTTCTGAGGTGGTAGGCATACCCCCAGCCCAGGCCGGGCCTGTCTCAGATGTGTCTTGTCCCCAGGCTGTCTCTAGCCCCCTGTCTTCCTTGCTCTTCTCACCACATAAGGCCAAGGTGTGAGGCAAAGGGCCAGATAAGAGCTCTTGGGTAGTGGTTGAGGGGCCACAGGCACAGGGAAGCTCTGACATGCCCTGTTCTTGCAGGTGTGGTGGACAGTGAGGACATCCCTCTGAACCTCAGCCGGGAGCTCCTGCAGGAGAGTGCGCTCATCCGGTGAGCCTGGGGGAAAGGGGCAGTGTGGGCTTCCTGTTGAGGACCAGGCACTCCAACTAGGCTGTGCCTCTCAGGCCTGAGCTTGGTTACAGGAACCCAGAGCGATGTAAAGAGCAGAAAGCTGGGCCTGGCCTACTCTTGAACAACTCAGGCTGTGATCTGAAAGAGTTTGGGAGTAGTTGGTCATCACCTAGGCTGAATCTAGAGAGGACAGGGTCTACGGGACCAGCTGGGGTGCCCAGCTGCACTGGGCCAAGGCTCTTGGCAGTGGGCTACAGCAGGCCAGGCCCTGTGCAAAGGTGGAACTCCAGTACAGGATTCTCCATCAACATCTTTACTGCACCCACTCTGGTTCCAGGCTCTCTAGATAGTGTTTTCAAACTGCAGTCACTGTTTTTTTTTTCCTAGTGAAATTTGCTTTTATTGGACATATGTCTCACCTGTAATCCTAACCTAGAAATGGCCATGGTTGGCATTTTAGGATTTAGAATATGGGAGCAGAGGTTTTAGAGCTAGAGTGCACAACAACCAGATCGGGGCCAGATGTGGTGTGGCACACACCTATAATCCCAGGTACTCAGGAGGCTGAGGCAGAAGGGTCACAAGTTCAAGACCAGCCTGGACAATTGAGTTGAAACCCTTTTTCAAAAAATAAACAAGACTGGGTTTAGTTCAGTGGTAGAGTGCCCTTAGGTTGAATCCCCAATACCACCACCACCCCAAATAAATAAATAATAAACCAAATTGGGATCGTGGCCTTCAAGAGCCTCCAGGTTGCCCATATAGAACAAGACGCAGCAGCAGCGTGCCTCACTGAGTCTTGCAAGAGCTCGCAGCAAGGGACTGCTCTTCCATCCTCAAGAGGATGTGCTCCCTGCGTAGAGAAGGGGCAGCTCGCTGGTGAGACACCTGCCTGGAGAGGAGCCAGGGCTGTCTCATCCCAGGGCCACTGGCTCCCACTTGTGAGGGTTGGCCTTCAGGAGCAGATGTCATCATGCAGATGCTTTTGTCTTTGTTTTTTACATAATTCATATTTATACTATTTTCCTTATGTAGTAGTTTATTTTGGCTATTTCCAACCACTGTTAATATGCTGGGAGGCTCTTTTAATAACTGCATAGTAGTATGTCTCACAGATGTGTATAGTATCCAGTCCCCCAGAGTAGAACCAGTTATTTTTCCTATTAAAAACAACCACAATGGGCTGGGGATGTGGCTCAAGCAGTAACGCGCTCGCCTGGCATGCGCGGGGCGCTGGGTTCGATCCTCGCACCACATAAAAATAAAGATGTTGTGTCCACCGAAAACTGAAAAATAAATATTAAAAAATCCTCTCTCTCTTCTCTCTGTCTTAAACAAAACAAAACAAAAAAAACCCACAAGGTATAATAAATAAAAAACAGACCTTAGTACCTTGTTCCAGTCTGTGCCAGCGATGCCATCCTCCTGAGAGCTGTGGCCTCTGCTTCTTGGCCAGTGGCCGCAGGGCAGTTTCCACTGCTGAGGGCAGAGGGCTTTGGTGCATTTGCACGAGGGTGCTGAGTGAGCCTGGGGGCTGGTGAGTCTGTTGCTTTGCTCCTCGTTAATGGGAAGGGTCCTGGGGCCCCACTGTGGCACATCCCTACTTCTCAGCCCAGGGTACCACAGTCAGGGAGATTCCAGGCCCCAACCACATCTTGGAGATGGAGAGACAAGAGCAACCCTAGAACCAGGAGACTGGTGGAGTGACCCCAGGCTGACCATAGCAGAACTGCATGGGTCTTGTCACACAGCCCCTTCCTGTGTGCGTCACGGAGAGGTCATGTGCGTCAGTCAGCAAACCTGCAGCTCTGACTGCCATGGCCCCAGCGTCTGCCGAACAGCCCACTGTGCCCCACCTGCAGAGGCCCCTTGTCTCTGATCGTGGTTGTCAGGTTGCCAGTCTGACAGCTCAAGAGCCCACCTTATGAGAAATTAGGAAAGAATTGCAAAGTCTACAAAGAACATTTTTCCCCTGAATTCTTCATTCAAGTCTTCTTTCACTGCCTCACCTTCCTTTAGATACCTTGGGGTCCTGTGTAGCTCCAGTGCAGCCTCAGGGTCAGGGTTCAGTGTTGCCATGTCACTATCACCGTCTGTCCTCCAGCCAGTCCAGGTTCCCATGCTGTCCCACTGAAGATGGGCACCTGGGCTTTCTTTGACTTCAGTTCCCAGGATACTGTTGGAGAGGAGGTCTGTGGTTCTGTGGAGTGACCCTGTGTTTGCCACTGATGCTCTGGTGAAAGCACACGGGGACAGTCCTGTCTGGTGTGGCATTGGTTTGACTTGTCCCATGCCGGTGAGGTTCACAGCGACACTTGGCTCAGGGGTGTCTACAGGTGTCTCTACATGGTGTCTCTTGACCTTGTTGTTAATGAATATCAACTCAGGTGATTGGAAGCAGTGTCATACCATCTTCAAACTTTAGCATATTCGTTTATGATCCTTAAATGTTCATAATTTCTTTCTGGTCTGATTTTCCATTTTCATCAAAGGGTAATAATCTGTTCATCATTGATTTGATCTCTGATTGTCCCCTAAGGCAGGTGAGAGGCTCTGTCCCTTTGATGAATCTCCACTGAGCTCTGGATGCTTCTGCTGGCATGAGGTGCTCCAGGCCTTCTGGTACCTCGATGCCTCTTTTCCAAGCCCTTCCTTGCTTCCCCTGGGAGCCCTGGTTGAGATCTGAGAACTGGGGAAGCTCGTGGCTAGTGAGGTGTTACTGCTCCCAGCCCTCCTGGGAGAGAGTTCAGAAGCGTGTGAACGTGTGGGTGAGCTTGCACATGATTCCATCTGTGTTTCCCTCTTGTCTGTGGAGCCCATACCAATACCTCCAGTGCTAAGCCAGTAGCACGGGTGCATTCTGGACTTGGCCCTCTCCATGTTGGAAACACCCTTTTGACATGAGAAATCTGCTTCTCATTATTCTTAACATGGTTCCTTATTTGACGGATCTCCCTCCACATAACTGCTCTGGCATAGTCCCCACCCTCCTTATGGGGGCCACATCACCTTGCTTGGCTATGACACCCTGTGCCTGCCCACCCTCCTTTCTGGGTGTTCCCCTCCCAGGCCTGGACACTCCACACAATCCCTCCCCATCTTGGGCAGTTGTGACCGCTCTCACAGGTGAGGATTCCCACCCTGTCCCATTCTGCTCAGGGGCTGAAGATGAGTGTTTGGGACAGGAGTACAGGAGGGGGATTAAATGAGCTTTAGACATTATTATCCCATGCCTTGGATTGATGAGGAAATAAATCCCAAGTTGGACACTATGGTCTGGACACTACTGGTCCTGGTTCCAAACAGATGTGGACAGATGGAGCTGTTCTGTCTTGTGATCTGTCCTGTTGGGATGGCTCTGATTTCTCCTTGGCATGTCTCGGGCTGCTGGGACTCAGGTGATCTGGTGGCTGTGTGGCAGCACACCACTTGTGCTGTTCTTTCCCACTGCTCCAGGACCTTGCTTATAGCAGCTCTGCATCTGTGTGCCAGGCGAGGTCCTGCTCACACAGCCTGGTGCTCCCCTTGTTGCCCATTGCCCTGCAGTTGGAACGACCCGTGCAGAGGGTCATGTTCTCAGGTGTCTTGGGCCTGCAGAGGGGCAGCATGGTCAGCTCTGGGCCTCCAGGGTGACCCTCTGCTGAGAATCAGGAGGCCCAGTGGTTCTGCTATTCTGACATTTTTGAGGGTGGGCTGGTCATTTACCTGAATGTGTCACAGAAGCTGTCATTCACCGTGAGTGAATTCTGTTCCCAGGAAGCTCCGGGACGTGTTACAGCAGAGGCTGATAAAGTTCTTCGTTGACCAGAGCAAAAGGGATGCTGAGAAGTACGCAAAGTTTTTTGAAGATTATGGCTTGTTCATGAGGGAAGGCATTGTGACCACTGCAGAGCAGGAGGTCAAGGTGAGACTGGCTTTCTGGGCCTTCCTCTGGTCTGCCTCAGCACTAGGGCTTCAGAGGAATTGGTTCCTTCAGAGGTATTGCTTCTGTGAATGCAGCAATGGGGCAGCCAGCACCTGGCCACTGCCACAGGAGTCAGTGCACTAAATGCTGGGTTCTGGGCCTCTGCTGGCAGACGCAGCAGGCCGAGCACATGGTGCTTGCATGCCCGTCCCTGGTCCCACAGGCACTGTGGCACTCAATTCAAGGGCTGAGCCTCTTCTTCCTGAGGCCCTGGCCTCTGAAGCTGCAGAAAGAGGGATGCACACTCTCTAAGAGCTTGCTGGGGGCTCAGGCAGGCACAGAAAGGCAGGGCATGCTAAGGAAGGGGTCTGGTGTTAACCAGAGGTTTGCCTTTCGTGACAGTGGAAGCCCCTCAACACTGCTGTTGTTTATTGAGGTTTATTGAGGTGTCATTTGCATACCTTAAACCCATGAATGTCACCCTCTTGAAATGCACAGGTCAGTGGCATCCAGCGCAGCCATAGCGTTGTGCCAGCTCCAACACCCTTTTGTCCCAGGACGTCCTCATCCCTGCCTACGGCATCCTCCCTAAGGCCAAGGAAGAAGGCTAAACACTGGGGCATGGGCCCAGTGGCTTGCCTCTGACACCTCCACCGGAGGCAGCAGACTGCGCTCCTCTGTCCAGCTCACCCCTCGTTCCTGCTGGTCCGGCCTTTGCTTCATAGACCTGGTAGATTTGGTCTTTTCCAAGTGCTTTGTGAACGTGCAGCTGTGCCTACCAGGAAGGGCCCCATGCCTGCCATGTGCAGGACTGTGTTGTGGCCGCTCCAGGGCCATTCCTGGTCTTCATCTTTCCCTCAGTTTGTCTGTGTCTGTCCACCTTGAGTCCCAGGCTTGGCACTTAGTTTGGACCTGTCCCTGGGTGTCCTCTTCACCCTTCCCTGGGTCCCACACTCTCTACCACCCTTCTGCTGCACTGTCAGCGGTGACAGCAGCTTGGGTACGGCAGTGTCTGGGCTGGGGACATCAGGCCCAGGCTCCCAGCTTGCTGCTGCTCCTTCCTGTCCTTCACATGCAGCCCACATGGAGTCTAGTCGTCACACTCCACCTAGCCCTCCTAAGGGCCTGCTCCAAGGCCCACTCTAACTCACACCCTACTGGCCAGAGCTAGTCACTGGCCACCCCTGGCTGTGAAGGAGGTTGGGAAATGTGGACTTCGTATCTAGGTCCAATCCAAGGTCCCTGTCCCTCTTTAGGTGGGGTGCATGGGCAGAGGGAGGCCTGCGGCCTGCAGGGTGGAGCTGCTCAGGGAGTAGCCCTGCAGCAAGCAGTGATTGCCCGTGTCTGTCCACAGGAGGACATCGCGAAGCTGCTGCGTTACGAGTCTTCAGCACTGCCTGCTGGGCAGCTGACCAGTCTGTCAGACTATGCCAGCCGCATGCAGGCTGGCACCCGCAGCATCTACTACCTGTGCGCGCCCAGCCGGCACCTGGCAGAGCACTCGCCCTACTACGAGGCTATGAAACAGAAGCACACAGAGGTGGGCAAGCAGTGGGGCTGCCCTGGGGCCGCTGTCCTGGCCAGGCTCCCTTGCAGGGTCAGAGCCCCTAAGCAGAGGTCTCAAATGTCCCAGCCCAGTGTGCCCAAGGCTGGGAGGCCACATGGTATGAGCCAGGCCTTCCTCAGTGGACCCTCTCTTTCCCTGTGGCGCATTTCTCACCAGCAAGTGGCAGGGGAACTCATTCATGAGTAGAGTGAGCCTCAGGACCTGCTAAGAGGTGTCCCCTCTTCTGTCGCGTATTCACTGAGGTTCTGTGACGTCGGCAGGTCCTCTTCTGTTATGAGCAGTTTGATGAGCTCACCTTGCTGCACCTTCGAGAGTTTGACAAGAAGAAGCTGATCTCTGTAGAGACAGACATTGTTGTCGATCAGTACAAGGAGGAAAAGTTTGAGGACACATCACCAGGTGGGCTTGCTTTCCTCTCCAGGGTACAGGGCTAGCACAGGTTGTAGCCTAAGTAGCAGGTGGCCTGGGACTGATGCTTTGGTCCTATAAGTCCTTTCCTGTCCTGTCTGTTGATTGACCTGGGATGTTCTTTTTCACCTGGGTTTGGGGACACCAACCCATGAAAGAAGGTGCTTGGGAACATCTTAGTGATTCATGGAAAATAGGTCTTAGGGCCTCTCTGATGCTCCTTTCATGGTGGCTTCTACTGTTGACCAAGTGTCCCAAGAGAACCAGATTTGGTTCCACCACCAAAACCTGGGCCTCAGGCAACCAAAGTGCCCTCCTGAGGTTTTCACTGTAGATGAAATGAGTCTTCTGGAGCAGCGGGCAGTCGGCGGGGCAGGTGTGGGGAGAGCCCAAGGAAGAAATCCGTGGAGCAGTGCTGTGGGCAGTGGCCCCTGGGCTTGCTCATGCTCATTCTTGTGCAGCCAGTGACCGCCTGTCTGAGAAGGAGACAGAGGAGCTTATGGCCTGGATGAGGAACGCACTGGGATCTCGAGTTGCCAACGTAAAGGTCAGGCCCTCCTGGGCGGGTTCCCTCTACCCCTGTGGCTGTTAAGTTGCTGGCCTGGTGGACATTGGCCCTGGCAGTGGTGGAAACCTGCAGCATATGGTGGAGGTCATGGGAACCGAGGAAGTGGAAGGAGCAGCCAGGGCCCTGGAGGACAGGTGAAGGCAGTAGGTCCCCAGCAGGTACCCCAGGGCCAGCCTGTTCTGGACCTTGTAGAAGCTGTAATGGCTAAAGTGGGGGTTCCAAAAAAGGGAAGTGCCTCCCCTCTGCCTGAGGGGAGTTCATGTTCTCAGTTGGGGTCTTAATGGGGTTCTGGTGGGCTTCATAGAGCTAAGAACCTGCTGGCCTAGCTCAGTGAAAGGAGAGAGACAACCAGCAGCAAAGGGCATCTGGTGCAGGGCCATTGGCTCAGGGTGTGCAGGAGTGAGCTCAAGCAAAAGGCAGTGAGGTGAGGGTGGCCCTGGCTGGAAGAGAAAGAACCTCTGCAGGACACTGGGGCCAACCTGTGCAGACAGGGTTACATGTGGCACCTGCTTCTGTGGTGCATGTTGTGTCCCTGCTTCACAAATGCCAGGTCTCCACCATGCGGCCTGCGCAATGGTTTCATTAATGAGGTTCTTGGCATAAAAGTTAGCTAGAAGAGATCGAAATAAAACACAGACTCAGTTACCTTATTTCTATTGCCAGGTCCGAGACGGCTCCCCTCTCTGGCTTCAACCTCTAACCGCCCAGCAGGGCAGCAAGGATTACTCAGGGCTAGCAGGAGAGAGAGTGAACACGCCAGGGAGTAGCCTTTTATTGGGGAACAAGAAATTCAGGGGATAATTCCATCCAATGAAGGTTGAGGGGGGACTGCACTCCAAGGTCAGGGTCAGTGATTGGGCCCCCGGGGTCAGTGGTCAGTCACACCCCCACACGGACGGGTTCTCTCATCAGGAAAGGGCCGGGAAAATTCCGACACAGCCAGAAGCCTCAGACCCTTAACGGGAGCCGCCCAGTCACGTGTCAGGATGGCTTCCCACACAGGTCCTTAAGCCCCGGGCAACTGTTGTCCCTGGTCTGTGGTGAGGAAAGAGGACCACAGCTAGACATCAGGGGGCAGAGTCTGAATTGGAGCTCAGAGCCTGTTCCCCAGTGGCCAGTCTGGCAGGCAGGAGGGTTCTCAGCCTGAGTCAAGAGTCCATGGTCCCAGCCACTCCAGACGCTGGAGGGGGTGCCTTGCTGGGAGGGTGTCTTTTTATGATGGGAGGAGGGAGAGCAGGGTTGTAGGACAGAGCAAAGGAGGAACTTGCGAGAAGGACCTGCCCTGGGGCTGGGCCCTCAGAGACACGAGGGCCTGGTGCTTCAGGGAGGCGGCATGGGCCTCAGTGATCCCCTTCTTAGTGGGCAGTGGGGAGGGGGAGCAAGCAAGGCTGGCTCCAGGCTGTGAGGGACTGTCCCTGAGACCCTGCCTTCTACCCTGTGGTGTGGGAGAGCATCCCCCCATTTTAGACCCTGCCAAGCCTGGCCCTTTTGCCCCTGCAGTCCCCCTCAGCTCCACCCTGGCCTTGTTTGCAGGTGACTCTCCGCCTGGACACCCACCCTGCCATGGTGACTGTGCTAGAGATGGGGGCCGCCCGGCACTTCCTGCGCATGCAGCAGCTGGCCAAGACACAAGAGGAGCGTGCTCAGCTCCTACAGCCCACACTGGAGGTCAACCCCAGGTGCAGTCCAGGCGCTTTTCTGACCTGCTGAGGGGTTTTTATCCTACAGGAGCATGCATCCTTCTCGGGCATGGGAAAGTACACAAAGGTTTCACTCAGTTAGATGGCTGTTTATAAGGAGAAGGCCTGTGTCGCTGTGACAAAATACCTGAGAAATTCAACTTAAAAAGAGGAAAAGTTTACTTTGGCTCATAATTTCAGAGTTTTTAGCCAGCATTGATTTGGCTTGGTCACTTGGTGTCTGTTGCAAGGCAGAACATGGTACAGGTATGCGGTAAAGCAAAGCTACTTATGGCAGCCAGGAAGTAGGGAGAGGGGAAGGACCAGAGTCCAATGTCCCTTTCCTTCTGCTGGGCCCTACCTCCTAAAGGTTCTATCCCCTTCCAGTGGTGCTACTCATGGGGGACCAAGCCTTTGACATAGGAGACGTGGGGGATATTTAAGACCCAAACCACACACGATCCACACCTTTGAACTGAACCCCATGAGATTTAAACAGACTGGACACCCTCCCAGGGTTCTGCCCTCTGTGATTGTCCCTCAGAGGTCAGCTACATTTCACAGGACTGTCCTGGCCTCACATTGCCCTGTGTGCCTTAGAGCAGCAGACTGGCCTGTTTTGGACCCCAGGCCTCTACCACTGAGCCACACCCCAGCCCTTTATCTTGAGACAGGGCCTCAATAAGTTGCCCAGCCTGGCCTTGAACTGCAATCCTCCTGCCTCAGCCTCCTGAGTCCCTGGGATTGTGGGTGTGCCACTGCATCTGGCACAGATGTTCTCTTTGAAGTCGTCTTTTTCACACAGCATCTGAGAGATGGTCTGCATTCAGGGGCCTTTGAGGGTGGTTGTCAGAGATGAGTGGCACCCACTAATGAATCCCCCTCGGCACAGCTTGTTCGAGCGTTCTGTTCTGATGGGCATTTTGGTGGTTTCCAGTTTGGGACTGTTGGAACAGGGTTGCTGTGCACATTCTTGTCCCAGGTCTGGCACGCATATGGCTTCTCTGGGAGGATCACCAGTGGTGAAGTGGCTACAGGTCCTCAGCTGGCCCAAGCTGCTGCCAGGCAGCTGTGGTGCTCTGGGCCCTGGACGGCTCCTGCGCGTGCTTTCTCAAGCGTTTCCTGGCCTGGAGCTTGGCCCCTCTCTTGCTGGGTTCTCTTTTCCGTGGTGCTTATAGTTCTTGTACCGCCATTTGTGGCTGACTCTTCCCTCTTTCCACCTGCCTTAAGGTATCTTCTGGTGAGTAGAAGCACTTGACTTTAATTTAATCAAATCTAGGAATCTGTCTTAGAGGCTTTCTTGGATCTTAAGGAACCTCTCACTGGAGGCCGCACTTACCCCCTCCCTTCCCTTCTAAGGGCTGGGTGACTGTGGCCCTTCAGCTGGCTCTGTAGCTGACTGGTGGTCATGTGGGGTTGGATTTCTACCCACTCTGCAAGACAGCCATCGTCCCACCCACTCGCTGCACACACCTGTCCTTGCCCAGGTCACGGGGTGTCAGGTGTCCACGCACATCTTCTGCTTGTCCCTCTGCCAGTTCCGCAGGGTCCTGGGTGCTCAGCTTTCCCAGGTCTCCATGCCCAGCAGCCAGGTCTGCCCCTTATTTTTTCGAGCAGAGCTGGCTGCTTCTCTGTAAGTGGCCTGACCTGTGCCACGCCTACACCCCTCACACACAGGAATCCAGCGATTGTGACGGGGATAGTCTTAACTCCCTAAATCAATTTTCGAAAGAACATAGTATATTTCTCCATTTACTTGGGTCTTTAGTACCTTTTGGCAATTTAGGTTCTCTGTGTAGTTCTTTTTTGTTGTTGTTGTTGGATTGTTTTGTTTTGTTTTGTACCGGGGACTGAGCTACATCTCCAGCCCTTTTTATTTTTCATTTGGAGACAGGGTCTTGCTGAGTTGCTTAGGGCCTCACTAAGTTGCTGAGGCTGAGTTTGAATTCACAATCCTCCTGCCTCACCCTCCCAAGCTGCTGGGATTATAGGTGTGTGCCACCACGCCTGGCATGTCCCTTTAGTTTTTATAGCTGATGTCTTTTTTTCCTTTGAGATGGAGTCTTCCTAAATTGCCTAGGCTGGCCTTGAACTTGTACTCCTGTGTCAGCATCCTGAGTCTCTAGGTTTACAGGTGTGTGCTACTAAGGATTGAATCCAGGGTGTTCCACCACTGAGCCACATCCCCAGCTCCTTTTTATTTTGAGACAGGGTCTTGCTAAGTTGCTAAAGCTAGTCTGGAGCTGGAGCTTCCTGCTCCAGTTGTTGGGATTCGGGTGTGTGCCCCCACACCCAGCTGGCTGCTGATGGGTCTTTTTATCAAATGTATAAAGTTATCATTTTCTGAACTCTTTTTATTTTCTGTGGTGCTGGGGATGGAACCCCGGGCCTGTGCATGCAGGGCAAGCACTCTACCAGCTGAGCTATGTCCCCATCCCCAGCCCTTGTTTTGCTTGTTGTTTTTTTAATTGGTAATGATCTTTTGAAATGAAATTACATAAACAAGTTACCAAAAATGTTAATAGCGAAAGGAAAACCCTCATCCACCTCCTCACCTGCCACAGCGTGGCCTACTTAGTGAGTCACATCTGTGTGGAGTTTTCCTGTGGCACATGGCTTAACTTCTTCATTGTCACTTTATCATGGTCTTTACCATGAACTAGTGGGCTGGGGAGGTCTCTTTCCCCTTTTTGCAGGTCACTTAGGTAAATTGAGTGTGGAGCAACAGGTGGCAGCTCTGGGCCAGCGGCAGCCGTGTCCAGGCAACATGGGGCTGAGGCGGCAGCTGCTGACTGGTTCTGCTGTATGGAAGTGGCCAAGGGCTTCACTTTTCAATCTTGCCTTTAAAACCTGTGTGTGTTCACGTGGTCCAGAATTGGAATGTACCTGGAGTTGATAGGAAAAACGCTTCCTCCTGGCCTTGTCCCCAGTGCAGCCAGAAGTGCGTGTCCCAGGGAGCAGCCGGGGCTCCTCCCGGGCAGCGTGCAGGTGGTCACTTGGATTTTCTCACTCAGTGGTGTAACAAGGGACCCCCCCGTGCTAGAGCATCCCGAATGCCCTCCTCCTTTGTCCAGCTGTGTCGATGCTGTTGTAAGGACGTACATTAGAGGTGCTTCCTGCTAAGGTGCAGTCTGCAGATGGAACTGCTGCTCTGGGACGCCATCTGTGCATAATTGTGGACCTCAGGTCTCTGTAGAGATCAGTTAAGTTTACCTAAGTGAAGTCTCAACAGTTTGATGTATGTTTCTTATTATAAAGTTATTTTTTCTTTGTAGGAAAAATGTTTTTGTCATTCTTTTGTTTTGGGCTTCTGGGTTTATGAAATTTTTTTAATTTACCTGTTTTCTTCTGAGATTAAGCTTTTTTGAATTGTACTTTTTATCTTTGATCCCAGTTAATTTTGGTCTAAGGAAGAAGGCAGGAATCCAGTCTCATCGTTCTCTGGCTGGCTGCTGGTGAGCCCAACACTGCAGGCCAGCTGATCTGCCTTCCCCGAGCCCTGCCGAGCATCAGCATCCTCCAGGGGCCCTCTTGGCTACTTGCTCTTCTGTGTTTTTTAACAGTCTATTAGTAAATTGGTGGGTTGTTTGGGGATTCACTGGCCATTTCCGGAATGTTCTGTTAACCCCCTCAGAGGGTCAGCAGCATGCAGGTAGAGGCCTGAACCAACAGCTCCTGTGGTTCCCACATTGCAGGCACATGCTGATTAAGAAGCTCAATCAGCTGAGAGAGCAGGAGCCAGAGCTGGCCCAGCTGCTGGCTGACCAGGTGAGAGGAGCCGGGCCCACCCAGGACAGCCCCTGCCCACCTGGGAGGTGGGAAGCTGCTCTCTTGTCTTTGTGACCCAAAAAACAATTTCCACCCTTGCCTTTCAGATCTATGACAACGCCATGATAGCAGCAGGGCTAGTGGACGACCCCAGGCCCATGGTTGGCCGCCTCAATGACCTTCTCGTCAAGGCCCTGGAGAGACGCTGATGACATGGTCCTCCTAGGTGACAAAGGAGATTATGTGCCTGGGAAGTGTCCCCAAGCAGAGACAGTAAGGACAAAAGACCACCACCTTCTTGAGCTTTATTTACCTCCATTAAAGTATTTCTTAATCCACCTTTGGGCTGTCTAGGCTTTGAGATGTCCAGTGAGGTAGCCTCCTTGGCTGGAAGCTGCACAGCCATGCTACTCACTGGCATCAGGCTCTCCTCAGCGTCACCTCCACTGGGTAGTGGTCACTGATGGCTTCAGCCTGAAGGGAGACACACAGGGCTTCGGGACTTAGCCCCACCCCTTCCCTGGAGGAGGCGCATCATTTACCGACCCCGAGCTGGCAGGGTGCACACTTACGAGCTTGTTGCCCAGGCCGTAGGCCACTTGGAAGTCATAAGGGACAGCCGAGTCGGGAACAATGGCAGCTTGGAGGAGAGCTCCAGAGACCACAATCCTGTGTGACACAGGACAGGAGGTGAAGGCTGGGCTTCAGAGGCTTGGTGATGCATTCTGAGGCTGGGTGCCCATGATGTGTCCTACTCACCTGTCGTAGGCACAGTGTGTGGATGTGACTGTGGTGTCTGCAGTGTCGGGAATGAGCCACTGGAAGGCAGGGTCTGTACGCAGACGGATGGAGGACCACTGGGAGGGGGTCACATAGCTGCAGCCAGCATTAAAATCACCCATCAACATGATGTCCTGCGGGAGACACCTGCCTGTTGGCCCTCGGACTGATTGGGCTGCTAGAGCCCACTGCCCACAGGACAGACCGTCTCACCTCCAGGCCCCACTTCTGCCGGACATCCAGGTAGACGTCATAGAGAGCATCAATCTCCGTCACTGCGTCGGCTGGGGCAGCATGCAGGGGCACGATGGCAAACTCCCTGACATCTGAGGAGACAGACACATTGAGCACCTGGCAGGCAGAAGCAGGCTCAGCTGTTGGGATAAAGGACACACAATGGTGCCCCAAGGTGTGGACTTTCCCCTGCATGACTTGAACAATTAAGGACAACAAGATCCCAACGGGTGTGGGGACGGCCTGGGTAGGGCTGAGGCTCAGCAACACTCACGTGTATATGGGGAGAAGAACTTGACAATGGCTGGTTCTCGACTGAAGGTGTCATTCCCACAGGGCTCACAGCCGTCGTCGTAGTAGTAGCTGTCCAACACGGACACTTGGTCAGGCCTGCGGGAGGGCCAGGCAGGAGGTGACCCTGGGGCTGGTGAACCAGCCGGCTCCTTCACATTATCTCAATGAACCTGCTAGCACTGGCACTAGCAGGTGGCCCTGGGGAGGAGCCGGCTCACTCTGGGGCTGGAGGCAGGGGTGGTTGCCTCCACCTGGAGTGCTCTCTCTTATTGGGTTCTTATCCCTCCCACTTTCCTAGGATCCTCCCAGGAGAGGGAGGGGCTTACTGGACTCTGGACTACCCCTGAGCCTTGCGAGGTGCTCTGTGGGTACAGATGGGGTCCTTCTCACATCCTGGTCCTGGCAGTCACAGACTGCACTGGCCCAGGTTTTACCTGTACACGAAAAGGTACTGCTCCTTATAGCTACTGCGTCCCAGTGGCTCGCTGACCACGTAGTGGTAATTGTCCGGTGCATCTCTGGATGGGGGAAACAAAGGTCCATCAGGGCCTCAGCAGGGCTCTGCCTCCTGTCCCTGGGACCGGAATGAAGTGAGGCTGTACCATGGAAGTGGTCTCTTCTCCCAGAACCCTACCCTACCACTGTCACCCACCGATTAAGTTCATCCAGCAGTTTCCCCACAGCTGTCAGGTAGGTGTCTCTGACCTCCTGGACAAGAGCAATGTCGTAGCGACTCAGGATCTAGGGGACAGGGCCGCACGGGTACTGAGCAGGAGCTGGGTGGTGACTCCAGCCCTTAGCTGCCTGGGGCATCGGGTCCTGCCCATCTCAAGGGTCGCAGCCAGAGCCGTGGCTGCTCCTTGGGACATTCTTAATGGTGCAGCAGGCCCTGTCTTCACCTTGCCCGGGTCCTGGGGCTTTTGTTGCCCCACGGAGCTGCCCTGCTCAAACCACTGGCCCTGTGTTCGTGGGGCTGTGACACCCTCCCCCTGAGGTCTGCCCTCAGGAGCAGACTTACCTGCACAATGTAGCTAGAGAGGGTTGCATTGGACATCTTGGTCTCCCCAAAACTCCGTATGTTGAAGGCTGCAATTCTCAGAGATGTGACTACGTGCTGCAGGCTGGCCAGGGCAAGCAGCACTATTATGGGCCTTGTGCCCCTCATCCTGGGAGAACCTGAGTTATAGGGAACAGTGGGACATCACCTGTCGTCCTCGCCCCCGCCTCCCCAAGGTCAAGGGCATCTGCCCTCATGGCTGTGCTACAAGAGCACAGGCCAGGGAGACCCTCAGTGCTTTCACCACATATCCAGAGGGACAAGCACCCAGTGCCACAGAAGTCCCTGGTTTTCCTCCTCCACCCACCAGGGGAAACAAGCCCCAGAAGCATGCCATCCTGAGCCACTGGGGCCACCAGAGTCTCCCAGAGCCTGCACTTGCCAAGCAGACCCTGTTCTGTTGGTGGGACACAGCTGAGCCTGCCCTCCCTGCTCAGGGACTGGCTGGTCACCTAGAAGGACTCCACAGATGACCAAGCCTAGCACTCACCCAAGGTGATGTCTGCAGAGATGATAGGATTTCTGCTAAGAATTTGGAATATTCTTTGATGATAATTTTCTCCTTTTGCTGCTTTAAGAAAAAGTTAATTTCCAGAGGGAGCTCTTGGAAGAAACAACACAGCAAGGACTTGCAGATCTGCCAGGGCTCCTCCTCTGTCCAGACACTGCTGGTCCCAGCCAGGGTTTTAAGGGTTCAGGCAGGGAGACCGCCCCCAGGGCACGCGTGCACCTGCACCTGAGCAGAACAATGGCACCACCTGTGTGGCCCTTGACAGACCGGCTCCATCATGGGGTGAACACAGCAGCTGATAATGATGTTTGCACTTGGCTGTAAAGTGTCTAGTAAATGTCCTTTGCCCATCCAGTATCTTCCCCACCAGGGATGGGCACAGGTGTGTGCTGGAGGGCAGGGCTGCACTCACCCACTGTCTGCCTCACATCTAGGATCCTGGAGGTCACCTTGGAGCCAAGGCCAAAGCCAGGAACACAGCTGCACGTTGCCAGCGGAGCCCCACCACTCTGGCCCAGGACCTTCAGGGCACCCCAGTTCCTCCCAATTCATCAGCCGTGACAGGCGGCAGGCTGGCAGCTGAGCAGGAGCAGGGCTGTGAATGGGGGGGTGCTTGAGCAGGGCTGTGAATGGGGGTGCAGGCCATGGCATGACAGCGTCACTGGGTAAGGGTGGGGACTGCAGGGCCAGGCAGCAGGGAGCTTTCTGAAACAGATGAGAGGCTTAAGCCTCAGGGACCTTCAGTGAAGCGGTCACAAGGCCACACCTTGGTCCAGTCATTTCAGACCCCTTGGCCTTCCCATGCGTGTTCATGTCCTGAGGCTACGGCAACAAGTCACAGATTCAGTGGCTTAAGACAATAGGAATTGATCCTCTCACCGTTCTGGAGGCCTGGAATCAGCATGGCCATGGGTGCTGCTCTAGGGGAGGATCCTCCTCTAGGTTAGCTCCACTCTGCCTCTGTGATCATGTGGCCTGTCAATCTGTCAGTTCTCCTAGAAAGGTAACCATGGTTGCATTTGGGGCCCTCCCAGGTCAGCTGGATAATGTCCCCACCTCACCATCCTTAGTCTCATCTGTGAAGTCCTCTTGCCACATAAGCTTAGGACATGGGTATTTCTTAGGTACCGTGCTCAGGCAGTCCATCTAAGTGGGCTCTGCCCCATGTGGGAAGAGCTATTGCGTCTCCAAGGACAACCATGTGGGAGGCCTTGGTCCCTCCTTAGGAGGTGGGAGGGCCTGGCAGAAATTGTAGGACCAAGGCTCAAGAACCTTGGGGGAGGGGTGCTATGGGAGATCAGGGAGCAGGGTGGCCTCCAGGGCAGGAGTCAGTAGGGACTAAGGTCAGTCAGGAAACTACAGATCTGGCCTGCTGGCCAGGAACCAAGTGCAGGCTCAGTGAGGGTTAACAGAGGGTAAACCTGAACTTTAAGGAATCAAAGGGCACTGAGAAGTGACTCTGGCCATCAGCACAGGTTCACTGGACTTTGTTATGGCACCTGAGAGATGGAGTCACCAACTTGCTCCAGCTACCAGAAGCCCCGTCAGACTTTTTCAAGTCTGGTTGCTGGGTTTTCCCTATTTTCAATCTCAGGAGCAGGCTTAGCAAGTCACTGTGCTCCACGGAGGTGACTTGCTCAGCTTCCAGGTGGATGCGGGGCACCGATTACCATTGACACAGTGTGTCAGAGGTAGCTCGGGTTTGCAGCACACTGGACAAGGGTACCTGGGGGCCTCTCATCCCTTCCCTACTCTTGGGAACTCCCAGGCACCATCCTCACCCTCCTCCTACCCACCAAGAAGGTTGGGACTCAGGCCTTATACAAGACTGGGCCCTGGACACCCACTGCATGTAACAGCCTTCAAAACAGGGGCTCCTATTCTGTGTGAGCCCCCGGCTCAGTGTGAGCCCCCAACTCAGCACTGGTGGTCCCAACCATCAGAAGGGGTGGGACCACCTCCACTGCTGTCCTGAGGTTTAAGTAGCAGTAGACACAACACCATTCCACAGAATCACTGCAGCTCTTCAAAAAAAGTCCCCCGCTCCCTGAGGACAAGCCCTCTCAGATGCTGTACCATCATCCATCTTACCTTTCCCTTCTGGGTATTTCCATTTGTTTCAGCCAGTTGTTACTGTGTAACAAGCTGCCCCAAAACGAGTGTGCACAGCCAGGCATAACAGTGCATGCTGGCACCTCAGCAACCTGGGAGCTGAGGCAAATTCAAGGTCAGCCTGAGCAATTTAGTGAGACCCCATCTCAAATTTTTTAAAAAGGGTTGGAGATATAAGTGCCCCTGGGTTCAACCCCAGTATTGGGGTGGACAAACACAAGTCTCTGTGCACAGCGTGCATTTCCTTTCCTGTGTGCAGGTCTGCAGACCAGCTGGGATGGCGCTGGGCCTGCTGGGGCTGGGCTGGAAGGTCCCAAGGGGCAAGCAGGGTATCTGACACCCCTTGAGGCCTAGGCTTGGACTCTGTGCTGTCCCTTCTGCCCACTCTTTTGGCCCTGGCAGGCCAGTACGCCAAGCCAAGGTGAGCGTAAAGGAGTGAAGTACACTCTTCTCAAGGCCCCTACTTTGCAGATGCAGAGATGGGCACCAGGGAAGAGAGAGGCATGGCATTCCTGGCATTTCCAGTCGTATCAGCAAGGATACGTCAGGGTGAGCTGTTTTTACATCAGCCAAAAGGATCTGCAGCTTCCTCCTGTCTCCTCCACAGAAACACAAAGGGAAGCAGCTCCTGACAATGGTCTCCTCAAGTATGAACCAAGTCACAGGATAAAGAAAATCCTACAAACACCCAGTCAGGAACAAAGTGTAAAGAAAATCCTATAAACACCGCAATCAGGAACAAAGTGTTATGGGCCAGACTTTATAGGCAATGACCAAACAGACTCCATTTTGCCCTGAGACTCCACATCATGTAGGAAATGCTCCTCCCATGGGAATACCTGCCTCTGTGCCCATCAAACAGCATAGCATGTTTGGCAACACAAAATGGCAATTCTTTTTTTTAATATTTTTTAGTTGCAGTTGGACACAATACCTTTATTTATTTGTTTATTTTTATGTGGTGCTGAGGATCAAACCCAGGGCCTCACGCATGCTAAAGCACTTTGCCACTGAGCTACAGCCCCAGCCCACAAGATGGCAATTCTTATACAATGTAAAATTGTTCTCTTTGGTTCACATTTTTCTTGGACAATGTACCCTGTCAGATTGGTTGTCTAGATATTAGTAACCATTCTTTAACTTGTACCAAATGAGGATCATTTTGACCTACTTCCCCTTCCCATTATGATCTCCTGATGTTTGCTTATGGTCTTGAATCAGCAACAGCCACTTATGATTAATGTGGTTTTGGACTGTAAAGGTGTGCTCTAACCCCAGAAGGGAGTCGAAGGGTGTAGACTTGCAGCCTGCCCCTTGACCCGCCAGCTGGTGGATGCCAACCACAGGCTGCTGAATAAAGATGGTTCCATGTCCTGCTTTAAGATCTACTCAGTGATTTAATGCAATCTCGCCATAATAAAAGGACCTCAAAGGGACATGTGCAGTGGCACAGGCCACACAGGGGTCAAGGCAGGGTGCAAGGAGCTGTGCGAAGGCACCCTCAGATCAGGCATATGCTGCTCAGGGAAGTCCACGGTCCTGAAGCTGCATCCCACTTTACTCCTTTCTATGCTATCCAGTATCTGCAGTGCTAGCTTGGAACCCAGGCACACCCCCTTCCTGGCCCAATGCAGTGACCCCACCACATGCAGATGCTAAAATTCCTGAGAGCACTCCAGGTCCTTGCCGTCCCCAGCCCTCCCCCAAACATCCAGAGTCCACTTCTCTCCAATCCTGCAGCCACCACACTGGCCCGCTCACCACTGCTGTGTGGCCTCCCAGCTCCCAGAAACACCTCCATGGTCCACACGGTCCCAGAACATCTCCTAAGTGTGTAATCAGATCACATAACACATTATTCCTCTGCTTGGAATCTGTCACCAATTTCTCATTGTCCTTAAGGAGAAATCAATGCTTACCATGACCTAAGCAATTCCAGCTCAGAGCTTCTGCTCACCTGAGCATCTGGGGCCTTCTGTCATGTCATCCCAGTTTCAGCTTAAATGTCACCTCTTCCAGAGAGGCCATTCCCTCCCTGCCCACAGGGCCCTTGCTGCTCACTGGTTGTAACATGCTCCTCATTCACACTCCCCATGGCCGACTTCTCAAGCAGAAAGCTCTGCGGCAGAGACGCTGGCTCTCTGTCCATGTAAGGTCCCCGATGCACACAGCAACACCTGGAAGGCCCAGGGCACCCACAGCTAAGCTGCGCTCAGCTTTCCTGCTCCTCCTGGCTGAGAGAGAATGTCCCTTCCTCCAGGACCCTCCAGAGAAAAGCCTGTCCTCAGAGACACTGGGCACAGGGGACACTGCGGGCATCCAAGGCATAGCTCCCTTCAATGGGCTAGATGTACCTCAGGAGGCACATGTGCTGCCCCACACATCTTGGAGGACAAAGGCCCTGTCTTTGCCATGTCACTGTAATCCCTGAGGAGGTCACAGGCTTCGCTCAGCACAGTGTGCTGCCCTTGGCCCATGACTGGCCTGCACTTGCCAGCCAAAGTTCATTTCTGCTCATTTCCACCCAGGGTGGAAAATTCCTCAGAACAACACACATGAAATGCCAAGACTCGTGACCGCCACTCTGTCACGCTCGGCCAGTCATGCCAAACCCAGTGCGTTACGGGGCGGATGGCATCTGGAGGCCAGGAGCCAGCACTCCCAGGAGGGCTCTGCCAGCCTGAGCACACCACTATTCTGCACCCTGATTTCAGGAAAACACAAATACAGGTCGTCTGCCTAAAAGGCACATTCTAAAGTGCATGCTGGGTGCGTGGGTACCCCGCAGCACATGCCTCTGGGGTGCCAGCCACAAGCTGCACTTCTTGGGCATGCAGCAGGGCCCCAAGTGCTACCATGAAAATGCCTCTCAAATCCCCCAGTTCCAAAGCTACTTCAGCCTCCCACAGGCACAAGGAGCGCTCTAGGCAGCTCCCTGTGTCCACCCTGGGGCTGGAGCTATAGAGAGGTACTCAGGTCCAGGGTCCCAAGGCTCAGGCCATAGTGTTTTCCACTGACCTCCCCTCAGCTCCCTAGTCCTGCTCTGCTGACAGAGCCACCCGAAGGTAGACTCCAGCCACAACCCTCTCCTCATCTTCCTCTGAGAATTCCAATGCTCCTGAACTCCCCTCACCCTGTCTCTTCAGGGGTCAGCCACAGCTGTTCCCAAGCCCATCTGTGAGTCATCTTCCCAAGCTCCCATTTCCTAGTGTGCCTCGTCACTTTCGACTAAGCATTAGCCACTGTGACAGAAGGCAGCGTCTGGGTGTGTCTCCTCCAAGGAAGACTTACCTCCTTGGAGGGCCAGAGGAACAGCCTACTGGGGGGCACTCAGGGACCTTGTGAAGACCAGCTGCCCTGTGGCCTGCTCACTTCCACGTGCCCCACACCTGTCCTGACCAAAAGCCTGCGTTCTACCTTAGGCCCTTCCTCCCGACAGGCCTGACCTCTCCCAGATTCTCCACTTCCGGATTCTCTTCCTGGTGCTTGGGATTGTCTCTTTTCTGGCCTCCTCCTCCTTGGGGATCCTGGCTCTGGGGTACTGCTGCTCAGCTGGGGCCCACCCTGGGATACTGCCTACAGCCCTCGGCTTCATGCCTCAGCATCCTGCCTGGCCAGGGCCCTGGGGGGAAGGACCCCGCACAGGAGCCTTCCTGTGACTGGGGTGGCTGTCCTGTGTTGGGGCCTCGCGTCCTTGGCAGCGCTAGTCTGCCGCAGGCTGCTCCATGGGAGCAGCTAATCTGGGAGCAGCACCCTGAGTCACTTGAGATGGGCTGACACCAGGGGGGCTGGTCCAACCAGTAGCCGTTGAACAGCCCTAGTTACGGATGTCCTGTCTAGAGTGCGCCAGATGAGGGAGAATCAGGATGGACACAAGCCCATTTTGTGGGGCAGCCAGGGACTGAGCTGTACCTTTCTGGGACAGTGGCCTCTGCATCCTTGGCAGCCTCGTCCTAACAAGGATGGCATGTGCCAGGAGCTGGTCAGTCCTCCCACCAGAAGCTGCCCGTTGGCTCCTGAAGTGAGCGAGAGGGCCTGTGCTTGTCCTCGGGCCTCCTCTTGGACACAGGTGCAGGGTGTGAAGACAGCTTCTGCCCTCTTGGCCTTCTGAGGGCTGCATGTCCCTCTGCAGCTGCCAGGGCGGCTGCTCCTACCCAGCCTCTGCTCTCCCAGGCACCTCAGGATTTCAGCACAGGACACTGGGGCAATGTGACCCTGCCAGGGCAGCCCAGCTCCAGTTGTGAGGAGTCCATGGGGCTGAGCTCACCCAGGTCTTTCCCCCACCTGCGTTGCCCAGGAGAAGTCATGTGCTGTTACATTCTCCACAACTGACCTCTCCTCTGGGGGCAGGGACATGTGCAGGAAGCACACTTGTTTTCAGCAGTGTGGGGAACCAGTGCTCAGGGAAAGGCCTTGCCCCATGGTGGCCTCTAGGACACATGCCTTCTGAGGCTGCAATTAGTACACCATGCTCCCTCCTGTCCCAATCCCCCACTGGCATGAGGGGCTCCCCAAGGCCCTCCCTCCATTCCCACCTTAGCACAGGCACCAGTCCAGGGCAGGACCTGAAACACAGAGGCCTGGCTGTGGAAAGGGAAAGGTGACCGAGGGGGAAATGTAGCAGCCAGACATCTGCCTCATGGGGCCCAGAAGCAGCACCATTCTCAGAGTCCCCTCACCTTGGGAAGGTGACTTCCTAGGCTCCCTCTCCTGGACATGCAAGGAAGCACAGGTGTCCACTGGGGTGAGCACTTCTCCCTGCGTCCCTGTTCAGAGTTCCAGCATGTGCCGCCACCACCAGCACCCTCCCTTGAGTGAGCCGGGTGCAGTGGCGCATGCCTGTCATCCTAGTGACTCGGGAGGCTGACACAGGAAGATCGTGTGTTCAAAACCAGCCTCAGCAAAGGCAAGGTGATAAACAACTCAGTGAGACCCTTTCTCTAAATACAATACAAAACAGGGCTGGGGCTAGGGCTCGGTGGTCAAGGGCCCCAGAGTTCAATCCCTGGTACCAAAATAAGCTCCTAAATGATCAGGCTCTTTCCTCACTTGGGCTCTGCGCGGAGGTGCTGAGGGGCCTCAGGTCACCAATGACATAGCTGTGGGACACGGGAGAAGTGCAAGCTTGCTGGGGTGGCAGATTCCAGCTGCCTCCTGGCTACCACTCACAGCCTCTGCCATCTTGCTGCTCCCATTTCCAGGTGGCTGGATCCTAAGGAAGGGAAGAGGGGTGTTGACACGGCCAGCTTGGCAAGTGGGTGCCACCTGTTCTTCAAGCTCCTGACAGGCTTAAAGTGGGACAACAGGGACCCCTGAACACATGGACAACACAGATGAGGATTTGCAGGTAGAGAAGAGGACAATGCCCAGAGGGTCCCCTGGGGCCTGCAACTGGGGACTAGTCAATGCCTTGTGAGGGGGAAAGGACCCAAGGGAAAGGACCCTGCAGGGAATGGACTAAGAGTCCCCAGAACCCACTTGGGCCACTGTTCATAACTCACAGGAGACTGGGTAGAACCTCAGAGGAGCACGGCCCTTGATAACAAAAAAAATTAAAGCTGGACTAAAGGCAGCTGTGAGTAAAGCCCAGAAGCACACCTCTAAAGACCCTCGAGTCGAACGAGCTTTGCTAGATCCTAACTCGACACTGCTGAAGGAAATATAGAACCCCAGAGCCAGCGATTTAAAATCCACAATATCTTCAATCCAGGTCTGTCCGTGGGTCCAACGCGGAGACAAGGGCCGTTCAGTACAGAGAACAATTAATTACTTACAGAAATTAACTAGGAACCAACAAAAGAGAACTCCACAGAATCCCTAGGGTAGAGAAGCACCAAGGGAAGGATCCAGACCTGGGAAGAGTGTGTCACAGGTGCCCCCCCATGGTGTCCCAGGTCAAGAGTCGAGAACCCCTGGGGGTGCTGAACCCAGCTGGCAGGCTCTCTGTGGAAGGGATGGGAAGACCTGAGGTGGGGGTGCTGTGTGGGGTCCAGCTTCACGTGTGCAGCCATCTTGGTGGTAGCCTCCATCTTGCCACCAGGAGACCCTGGCACGAGTCGCAACTCCTAAAGGGCAAACAGATCATTAAGACAATCAGCTGAGTGGGCTGTGCCCTTGACCCATGCTTGGACTGCTCCTTGACTGTGTGGACATGTTCAGAGTTCATGGGAAAGGCTAAGTGCATTCTAGACGGCACAGCCCACCTCCATCCAGCTCAGCATGAAAGCCCATCCTCCTGCCACCACCACCCAAGACACCTTCTGTCCTCTAGTCCCCAGGAGACTACAGTCGGTGCATTACTGGCTCTGTCGTCCTCTTACTTTGGTCTGTGACCCCTTCCACCTTTGGCAGCTGGTTCTCAAACACTGGGACTGGCTTTTTCTAAAGCACAAACTCACCAGAAAGTAGCCAGGAGCCAGCTGGGGTCACAGAACCTGCCTAAAAGCACCCAAGTATCCCACAGGCCAGACTGTCACAGAACAGGCATAAGCAGAGCAGCAGCACAGAGGATGCTCCTCCAGCCCCAGCAGATCAGCAGGCAGCAAGGGAGGAGGGTGTCACCCGCAGCAACCACAGGGGCCTTGAGTGGAGGTGACACACCAAGTCTGCTGTAACAGACCTCAGTCAAGGGGACGCCAGCACACAGCCACTGCCTTAGCAGCTAAGTTGCCAAGACTGGCCTCAAACTCCTGAACCTCCCCAGTCCCTGGGGTTACTGGCTGTGCCACTGGGTCTAGCAAAGAAAATAAAATCTTAAAAATGGCCCTGGTAAAAAGCACACTACGGCCAGGCACATGGTGCACACCTGTAATCCCAGAGACTCAGAGGGCCACACGTTCAAGGCTAGCCTCAGCAACTTAGTGAGGCCCTGTCTCAAAAAAAAAAAAAGGGGGGGGGGGGCTGGGGATATAGCTCAGTGGTTAAGCACCCCTGGGCTCAATCCCCTGGTACCAAAAAAAAAAGTATACTCATCCACGACTGAGGATGGTTGCAGTGCAGCTCAGGGCACAGGACTTATCTAGCATGCAGGAGGCCCTGGGCTCCACCTACTGTATTACAATTCATTAAAAAGAAGCAAGCCAGCCAGCCAGGTATGCACACCTGTAATCCCAGCTACTTGGGAGGCTGAGGCAGGAGGATGGAAAGTTTGAGACCAGCCTCAGCATCTTAGTGAGACTCTGTCTCAAAATAAAAGAGAAGGCTGAGGATGTAGCTCAGTGCTAGAGCAGCCCTGGGTTCGATCCCCAGTACCACCAAATAAAAATATAAATGCTCTACCAGGTTCATTTCTACATACACTTCTTGCCTTTCCTGACCAACTGTTTCCCTCCCCCTGCTACAAAGGTGTTTGTGAATCCTCAACCCCCCACCCCAGCTACAGACCCAGGAGAGAGAATCATTAGCCTGGGGGGACAGGGGGGTCCTATTCAGAACCGGGCAAACAGAGCCTCTGAGTGCCCCTAGTTCAGTCCCCAGTACAACTGGAAAAAAAAAAAAAAAAGGGAAAAAGTAAAATTACTACAACCAAAAAAACTGAGAAGACAATTATTTGCTTACTCAATCTGCACTCTCCCTGACCCCTGCCCAGATAAACGAGGAGGAGTTGGACAGGTTTTGGCTTTGCAGAACTGAGACAAGTGCTTTCACTTCTTCCACAGGACTGCTTCAAACATCAACTCAGTGGAAGATGCCAAAAGTTTTCTAAAAGTAATTATTCCAGGACGGTTAGGCTGTGATAATCAGAGCATTCAACCTCTTTGCTTTTTCCCCTGGACTCAAAAAATTACCTACTCCAGTAGGCTAGAAAAACAGAGCCCATGCCTGGAACAACAGGCTTCTCCCACACACTTCTGCATCCATCCAAGGTCAAGACTCACTTTTTAATACTTGAAGTGTCCCTTTACCTCCCTGGGTTATGGGTTTTGCAAAGCAGGAAACATACAGTAATATTCCCATGGAAATAACATGGACCCAGTATCAGTTTCTGGACACTTGTCTCTCAGCTTAGTCACAGTGGATGACTTCTGCCTAATCCCAGTGCTTCTGCTGGAGATTCATCCCAACAGGGTCAATATGCTCACATCCTTCACCCTGAGTCAAAGAGAAAGCTGTTCCAGTTAGGGATAACTTAAAAATTTTCTGTATCTTATGATATTTAATCTTGCTGTTGGGAAAACACCGCCTCTCTCAGGACTAGCTAATTCCTAGGGAGTACAAAATTTAACTAGGGAGTGTAGACTCATAGGCAAGCCACTACCCTCTTTATCTAACTCACACACCATTATTTTCCTTCCTCTAAACCATCCCACCGCCAGGTACCAAGCATCTGGGAAACAACACTATCTAGCCCAAAGCCCCTGGAATTATTTATTCATAAAATGTATCTCATATATATTTGCACATATTTAGTTACATAGATGGACATAATACATTTTTTTACGTTTTTTTTTTTTTTTAAGATGGACAAATCATCTTTATTTTTATGTGGTGCTGAGGATCGAACCCAGTGCCTCACATGTGCTTGGCAAGCGCTCTACCACTGAGCCTCAGCCCTAGCACCCCCACCCCCAACTTATTAAAATCAGCCAATCCTATATGTCCACTCTGTCCCAGGTGCCTTTCCTGCCAAGGCCCCATGAAAGTGCTCACCTAGGCTTCCCTTTGCTCCTGCTTCCTCCTGAGCAAACCCTGGGGCTTCCCCTGTGGCCCTGACTGGTTTGGCATGCTCCCTCTTCTAGAGAAACCACTCAGTTCCTCTTTTGATGGCACTGACCTCTACACATTGTCAGGCAGGCATCTCCATAGGCTAAACCTCCAGACAACCCATGCTTCCCTGCTGCCTTCCAGGCTTGTCCTATCTACTTAACTAGTCCAGTTGGGAACCATACTACAAACTAAGATTTCCAAACCCAGAGACCAAGTAATACCTCCTAGCTCATTCACACAGAAAAAAATCTTGGAATTTCTCTACCATTTGAAATTCAACAGTCAGAGCTAGGGTTGGGGATGTAGCTAAGTGGTAGAATGTGTGTTTAGTATGCAGGAGGCACTGAGTCTGCCCCCCACAAACGCAAAACTAAATGTTACCAAAAAAAATCCAGAAGTAGTTTTACCCAAGTAATGCCACTTATAGAACACAAAATCTTGCAGCATTATTTAGAGTAACCAAAAAAAAAAAAAAAAAAAAAAAGTAAGCACCCATAAGTCAATTAACTGATTAACAAAATGTGGTGTATACCTACAGGGAATGTTTATTCAGTCACAAAAAGGAATGAAGTGCTAAGTCAGCTACACCATGGATGAACCTTAATTAGTAAAAGCCAGACAGAAAACTCCTGGTTTTACGATTCAGGGGAGACGGAACACAAGGAAACGGGGAGGGAGAGCAGATAGTTTCCACCTGGGGTCACTAGAGGGGCAATGGAAGCACAATCTTGTGACTGAAAAACCACGGAATCGCACAGGTTCAAGGGGTGACTTTTACATTATGAGCATCACACGTTTAAAAAAACAGCAAACATTATCTTTCCTCAAACCTACTCCTTCGCCTTGAGCGGTCACACGTACAGCGCCTGGGATCCCACTTAACTCAGATGCTCGGCCAGAAAGTAACCGACGGCGACCGGGCCGGGCCGCTCCAAGCCCTTGGCACCGGCCCTTCGCGCCCCGCGCCTCCCCTCCTCTGAGCGCGGCCGTCCGCACCGCCGCCCAGGCCTCGGGCTGCAGCGTGGCCCCTACGCGGGCCTCGACGTCCCCCCAAGGTCCTGCGGGCGCAACAGGTTGGGGCTCGGGGCCACCCTGGGCGAGGCTCCCGCCCGCGCCACCGCCTTTCCCCGCGCTCACGCTCCGCGGCAGGTGCTGCGACGGGACCGCGGCTGCACCCGTAAGCGTCCCCGCAAAACCACGACGCGTGGGGCGCACCCAGCTTCTGCCCGGACCCTGAGCCACCTTCCTCGGAGCGGTACAGCCGCGCCTCGCCCCGCCCACTCGCCCTGCCCCACTCCGTAGCGCGCCCCCCCGAGGCCGCAAAGGAAGACGGGAAGACCCCCCTCCACTTCCCTGACGCGACCGCTCTGCGCCTGCGCACAAGCCGTGCTCCGTGGGACGCCGGGGGGCGCATGCGCCAGCGCAAGGCTCTCGGTTGAGAAGGTGCCGCGGCGGCGCCGGAGGTAGGAGGAGCCGGCTTCGGGGCTGGGAGTCCGCGCCCGGGAGGAGGAAGGCCTCTCCCCTCGAGCCGTTCCCGCTCTTCTGCGGGACGATCTGTACTCACCCGCTTCTGGCGGGCCTCCTAGCCTCGGCAGGGCCGCATTCGCGGCCCAGAGGCCGGAGCCGCGCCTGCTGCACGGGGGCCGCTCGGAGGGAGGCGGGGCGGGAGGTTGCGGCCAGCGATCGGGGTCCTTCTCTGGCCTTTGGGCTCTCAGGGCCCTTGGCATCTCTTCCCCAGACGGACCCCCAGCCCCTGCCTGTAGTGGCCGGGATGGGGAGGCGTCCCCCCGCCCCGACTCATTCATTCTTCCCGCGCGTGCTGGGAGCGCGCCCGCAGAGCGCCCTGTCCTGCCGGCCCCTGTCCGTTTGTCATCCGGCAGGTAGTGACTGCGCACCCACCGGGGACCGACCGCCTTGATAATCACCGACCGAGGCGTGGGGGCTCCTCACTGTGGCGTGTTGAATTTGGTCTAGCCGCCCCCACCCCGACAAGATGAAATCAGTTTGCTTTAGCCTGATGTTACGCGGTCTCCTGAACCGATCTTTGCTGCTCCCTGCAGACCTCCCTACCACTTCCTTCACTTCGATTATATCAAACTCTCTGCAGTTCATGATCAACAAATGGTTGTTGAGCACCTTATTACAGGTCAGGTGTTGGATCAGCCAGAAAGAATTCACTGTGCCCTCTTGAAGTGTTGAACTTAAGTTTGGACAGATAAGTCAATGAATAAAAACATAAGAGTGATACTCTGGAACCACATTGCCTGAGTCTGATCTCTGCCTCGACATTTGAAAAGCTGTATGGACTTGAGCTAGTTCCTTATTCAGCTTGTGCATAGGTCCTTGCTGTAAAGAAAAGATGACGGTTGATTTTCTTGTTTAGAGTTGTAAGGATTAAATGAGTTAAAGACTTGAAAAGCAATTGGAACAGTCTGGCACACAGTAAGCACTCAATAAAGGTTTTTCATTGTATATGACTGTAACCTTGATAAGTGCCATTTTGAAAACCATGTGTGACAATACATGGAGAGTGTTCACTTAAACATCAAAGGAAGCTGCTCTGAGGAGATAACATGGAAGATGAGACTCAGCCAGCCACCATACAAAGGAGATTCTGGGCAGCTTTATCTGCCCAGTTCTAGAAAACTAAATGATTAATTAGACTGGGCATTGGAGATTTTGTTGAATTCGAAATGAAGGACTTTGCCATCTGATAATTCAGTTTTGATTTTTGAACCACACTAAATAGTGTGCTGAAATAAATAATAATGCCCTTTGGTTCAACCTTTGCATATAAGCAGTATTCTGGTTCTCTGGGTTTGGAGAGCTCTTGTGGGCTGAGAAGGTAGAGAAGTGGCCTTTTCTCTCCTACATGTTTGGGGTTATATGCTTTTTCTTTTATGCAGCATTTATTCATGGAGCCCCAATCCATTAATAAATCTGGTAGTTTTAGGCCTGTGTAGGGAGATAGGTTCCCTAGGTTTGGGCTTACCCAATTTCTTTGGCAACTGTCCTTTGTAGGGTTCTCCAAATTTCAGTAAAAGCAAAGCTCTCCTAAGATGCACATATTTTTTTCTGCCTATGGAAGACTGCATTAGCAGGTTTCTAGATACCCTGATGTGTTGTGATGTCCTGTGGGATGATTATACTGTGTTAATAAGGCCATACAGAGCATTTGTAGAATGTTATTACTCTGAAGACTTTTCCCACACCCTGCATGGTTTTTACCTTCCTGGAAGAAATGACATATGATGGTAATATTTGTTGAATTACAGTTCTGCTTTTGGTTTTCCACAGATATGAAATCAAACCAACCCATGTGCTTCATTATCATGGAGATCTTGGAGATTCACCTGAGCACGGAGTTCATGTGTGTTTTATGTCAGAGGCCTCTGTTGGACAGCAGAATATTTTCTCAGCTGTGAACTTTAGCAGAAGGAAGCTTTAAATATGTGGTTTAACCATGGGCCCAATTTGAAGAAAGATATTTAAATCATTATGGAGAGGAAAACAATACTTTTTGCTCAGTTGTGCACTCTCCACGGGACTTGGTAAGGCGAGGAAGAAGCTGGTGGAACTGAAAGTGTGACTGAAGCTGGGCTTGTAGGCAGCCTCTCTCTCTCTCTTACTGTGGAAATGCCCTCAGATCAGTCCTTACTCCCCTGAAGACCCTCCCCAAAGCCTTAAAACTCAAAACTGGTCAGATGATGGATGAGTCAGATGATGATTTTAAAGAACTCTGTGCCAACTTTTTCCAAAGGGTAAAAAAAAATGGGACCAAGGAAGTGTCAGGAGAAAAGAAGACCCAGAAGGCCTCAAACAGCACTCAGATCAGAAACAAACTGAAAAAAACCAAACAATCCACCACCAAGAGCAAAACACTTCTTGGCCCTGCAGGGAAGAAACCTAAATTAGGCAGCGAGGACCCTAGCACTAAAAAGCCAGAGGCAACCAAGTTGCAAGAAAATGAACAAGCTCTTTCTGTGAATGGGGAGGGAGGAGTGCTTGCTCCTGCTCTGAATCAGCTCAACCTCTGTGAAAGAGCACAGAGCATCCAGACAGGTAACCAGGCAAGAACCATGGCCACACCTTTCAGAGAGGACCACAGAAGTGATTTGCACTATCTCCAACCATGGGTTGGAAAACTTTCTGAAAAAGGCCAAAGATAGTAATATTTTGATTTTGTGGGCCCTACAATCTGTTAGAACTGTCATTGACCCTCCCTATAGGTGGGATACAAATCTGAAGATTCAGCCAGCTTCAGATAGCAAATATTTGAGGAAAAATAACTGCATCTGTACTGAGCAAGTACAGACTTATTTTCTTATTATTTGCTAAACAATACTGTGTAACAATTACCTAACACATTATATTAAGTGTCATAAGTCATCTAGATATGACTTAAAGGTCCTTTGCAAATATTGTACTATTTTATATAAGGGACAAACATCTGCACATTTTTATATTTGTAGGGGGTCCTGGAACCAGTTCCCTAGAGGGATCACTGTACCCAACTCTGATACTATAGTGTGAAAGCAGCCATAGACCATATGGAAATCAGTGGGTGTGGCCATGTGCCAATAAAACTTCATGTACAAAAACAGGCAGCCAGCCCCAGGCCCAGAGTTTGCCAACTTATAAACTGTAACTATAGAAAACATGAGCCCTTTGTGAATCTCCCATGCAATTCTCTTTGGAGCCCTTTGCTCTTTGAGAATTGCTCGTGAATGTTTACGTTACGTAGCTAACGGGAGTTACACAACCTGAAAATAATGCTGTGATTTTCTTGAATTCATTCCAGTGTGGGTAAGTTGGAATGGCCAGCCAATTTGTTTAGGTTGCTGAGAAGGCTGAGGAAGTTGTGCTGAGTCTAGATCCCAGGAGCATCTTCAAGTCTTAACTCTTCTCCAAAGACCTTTAATTATTTTTTTCCTTTTCTCATCGTTTGAGGTAACCATTCTGTCCTGCTGCCCTCAGCACATTGAGGCCTGCCTCAGCATAAGTTCTGCATGCAGAACTGAAGGCCAGCCATGTGTGAATAATGCACCACAAGTCCTCTGAGCTACTGTTCTGTTTCTAAATTTTCCTTACCTTCACTTCCTGACCTGAAATAGCATTTTTCCCCCTAATATGGGCGGAAGCTCCTCTAAGGAGTGGTAATCAAACCTTAGCTCAGAGACTGTAGACGGCAGCAGTAATGTCGCCTAGACACTCTTGGCCCTTCATGCTCCCTTTTGTGCATCTAATGAAAGCTCTTCATGGTTCCCAGAAAACCCTATGCCTGTAAAATTGACCCAGCTTCAGAGGGTTCATGGTCTCCACTGAAGGCCTTCTGTGGATCCAAAGTTAAAGGAGAATGGATCTAGAAAGAGAAACATTTGTCATTAATAATTAATAAGTTTTATTGAAATATAATTCACTTCCTGTGAAATGTATTAGAATTTAATTCACTTATTAAAGTGTAGAGTTCAGTGGTACAATCAGAGTTGTGCCACCACCACTGCTACCTAATTTTAGAACATTTTTAAACACCCCAAAAATAGACCCCAAGCTCATCAGCAGTCACATCCCTCCTCCTTGTCATTGCCACAAACAAGTTCCCAGCAAGCAGTCTTGCTCATACTTGCAGGTCCAACCTAAACTGGTTGGTAAAGTATCCCTTGGAACCTTGGGTCACTTGCCTCTGGTGGGGAAAGTCTTATTTCTCTAGTAGTACAGACACTGAATATTTTCTTCTGCCAGAGAATGCTCCCAGTGGTGACTCCCACCTTGCTCCAACCTGTTTGACAGCAGCTGTGCCAAGTCCCTCCAAACCCCGCACTGCAGAGCTGGTTCTCCAGCGGATGCAGCAGTTCAAGCGAGCAGACCCTGAGCGTTTGAGGCATGCTTCAGGAGAGTGCTCCGTGGAGGCCGCACTGGAAGAGAACAGCCCACAAAGTCCTCAAGAGGAGATGGTGACAGGAAACGGTATGAGAAGCATGTTCTTCTTCCAAGCAGAAATAAGTTATAGTACTGGAGTACGGGGGCAGAAAGGAACCAGTGTTCATTCCATTTCTGTTGTAGGCAGGCTCTCTGCCTATTGTTTAAACTTTTCCAGCCAAAGAATGAAGGGTCCCTTGGTCATTTCAATTGGCTTCCTTGACAAAAGTACCTTTTTTTAAAAAAATTTTTTATTTTGACATTTCATTATATAAGTCTTTGCTTACAGAAAAGTTTTTTAAAACACAACAAATTGATAAAAATTACAATGAATTCTCTATACCTTCATATAGATTCAACAATATGTTAACATTTTGCCACATATACCCTTTTTTTTAGTTTTTCAGATCTTAATTGGTTTTGTTTGTGATTCTAGAATTGGCCAGTAGTCCCAAAGTTGGTTCAGAATGTTCCTGTTGTATGTTTCTTTAAAAATGTATATTTTTATATTATTTGAAAATAAGTTATAGACATTATGATGCTTCACTGCTGGATTCTCCTGCATAACCACACCACCAACATCCATCTGATTCCACGATTGAACTTATATGCAGTTCATAGTCCTATTTCCCAGTTGCTTCAGGCTCTCATAACTGTTTTTTCCTAGTGAGGACTCAGTATAAATAATACACTTTGTATAGTTATAGCTCTGTGGTATCTTAAGGTCATATTCTAGACTAGTGCCCTGGTTTTATTTATTTATTTATTTATTTATTTATTCATTAGGTGTAGATGGACACAACACAATGTCTTTATTTTTATGTGATGCTGAGGATCGAACCCGGGTCCCGCCCATGCTAGGTGAGCGCTCTACCTCTGAGTCACAATTCCAGCCCCAAGTGCCCTGGTTTTTATTTTTATTTTGTTTTGTTTTAACACTAACTTTCCTAGGAGTCCAGGCTAATTGTCCTATGAGATCTCCCACTTTCTGGATGTGTTTAATTCTTTCCTCTGGTGTCATTTCATGCCTTCTGCTGGTGCTTGGGTTGTGGTGCACTGTGGGTAGATCGGGCTCCACTGGCCCAGGTTAAACACTGTGAAGCCACACTGCACAGTGCTGTGTACTTTGTATTGCACCACTGCAAGTGTGTCAGTGTCGTAGTGCCAGATGGTCCTCTTTATCGCCTAAAAAGCATGGATCCTCTGATAAGTACATAACAACAGGAAAAGAAGTAGGAAGAAACCATTGTGGTAGAACTACAGCTAATAAATACAGATTGGTAATATATTTCCTGATTTCACCTAAGAGCATGAGGATTCTTGGGCTGCCACAAAGGTCTACAGCATGTGAGTTGATATCCTACAGAGGCATTGATCCTTGTGACACAAGTGGGGGACAGAGGAGTCACTCAGCAATCACCTAAGCCTGGCACCTGCCATACATTTGACTCAGTTGTTTGCCAGGTGTTTTCACGTTATGCCCAACTAAGATTCAGGAAGGGATAGACCTTCCTTGCCCCCAGTACTGGTGATTGAACCCAGGGCACTCTGTCACTGAGCTATGTCTCCAGATACCCCCTTTTCTTATTTTTTAAGTTTTGGGACTGATTCTCACTAAGTTACCAAGTCAAATCTTGAACTTGAGCTCTTTCTGCCTCAGTCTTCCTAGGTGTTGGGTTTACAGGTATGTGCTACTGTGCCTGGCTCCACCTCTTTATTTAAAAAAAAAAAAAGAAAAGAAAGGGAGGGCTGCCCAGCATGGTGGGCATACCTGTAATCCCAGCGGTTCGGGAGACTGAGACAGGAGGATAGCAAGTTCAAAGCCAGCCTCGGCAAAAGCGAGGTGCTAAGCAACTCAGTGAGACCCTGTCTCTCAATAAAATTTAAAATAGGGCTGGGGATGTGGCTCAGTGATCGAATGCCCCTGAGTTCAATCCCCAGTACCAAAAATAATAATAAAAAAAAGGGAGGGTACCTGGGAGCAAGCTCGGTGGTAGAACATGTGCTTGGCATGGGTGAGACCCTGGGTTTGGTTCCCAGCACCACAGGAAGAAAGGAAAACAGGATGCCAAATGAAGGGGTGCTGCTGCTTCCTGGTTTTGTGGCTGCAGTGATAGGCCACAGTGATGCTCAGCTCCAGTAATATCAGATGGGCCACCCGGCAGCCATTTTAGGGTCAGAATCAGTTCCTCCTTTGGTCTAATGCTAAGTTGGAGACTCTGCCTTTAACCACTGAAGGCCTTTTACTTTGCTGTGGTTTTTCTGTCATGGGCAGCAGGTCAGCAGTGGGGGAGGCTAAGCTTGAAAGAGAAAACCTAGTTCTGCTAGACTAGGAGCCGTGTGACCCTGTAGTGCCCAAGGTGCAAGATTTAGTGGAAGATGAAGGACAGCTTCTGCAGGGCCACTCAGAGTGGCCTGGACCACTCACATCACCCATCTGGTGGCTGTTAGAGATGCAAAGTCCCAGGTGCCACCTGGACCTCCTGAATCTGAGCCTGCATCTTAACAAGCCTCACAGGTGGTTCGTGTGCATACTGGACTTTGGGAGAGCTGTTCCAGGAGTGCCCCCGTGCCTAGTCTCAGTGGGCCGCACCCCCATCACCAAGCCTGCACAGTGGTGCTGGGTTCTGGTTTCTTCATGCTCTGTGAGAGGCATAGACTTGGCAGAGTCTGGTGGTGGCCCTGTCCTCATGGATCTTGGTTGCTTCTCCACAGGGTATGAGCCCAGGCTCCCTGCCACAGACAGTGATGCTGCTGTGGCCTTGGCCTTGCAGCAGGAGTTTGGAAGGGAAGCAGCATCTGCGCACAATGGTAGCCTGGAGGAGAATGGGTTGTTCTTCTGCCAAATGTGTCAGAAGAACCTCTCAGCCATGAACGTGACCCGGAGGGAGCAGCACGTGAACAGGTAGGAGCAACACAGACCATCCTGTCTCCCACCTAAACGACCCAAGTGGGGAACAGCCCACTCTAGAGGGAATTGAGACTAGCACCTGGGTGTCATCACCATGCCCTGCCACCTAACAACTTTATTGGGATATAATCACATATCATACTTTTCACCCATTTAAAGGGCACAATTCCAGCTGGGTGTGGTGGCACATACCCCTGATCCCAGCTACTTGGGAGGCTGAAGCAGGGAGATCACAAGTTTGAGGCCAGCCTAGGCAAATTAGCAACACCCTTATCCCCAAATAAAAATAGTAAGGGCGGGGGCGGGATACAGCTCAGTGCTTATCTAGCACTTCTGAGACCCTGGGTTCTATTCTCAATGCCACAAGAAAATAAAAGTGTACAATCCTGAGGCTTTTGTTATATCCACATGGTTGTGCGGCTGTCACCAGTATCAGTTGTGGGTTACTTTCATCACCCCAAAGAAGTCTCTACCCCATTGCCCCTCCGTCACTCCCCTAGAAACCACAGATCGTGGTTTGTGGGTTTGCTCACTCTGGACACTACATAGATGTAGAGTCAGGCATTACTTGATCCTTTTGTTTTCTTCCTTCACTTACATGTTTTCATGTGTTCTTTCCTTTAACATAATGTTTTCAAAGGTCATCTGGGTGGTGCATGTATTAGTGTGTCATTCCTTTTCATGGCTGAGTAACAGCCGTTGTATGGAGCCACCACATATTTATCCTTTCATCCCTGTATATACGGTTGGATGTTTCCCACCTCGTGGGTTTTGTGAATAGAGTTGCTCTGATGGAGATTTCATGTATTTGTTTGAACACCTGTTTTCAGTTCTTCAGGGCTTGTGCTTGGGAGTGGAGTTGCTGGATCCCAAGGTAACTCTGTTGGGTCTCTCCTTGCTTTCTTTAGCCACTTTACTAACAGATGTCTAAATTTAGTTTCTGGAGCCAACTGCCGGGGAGATGAGCAGACTGTGGGGGACTGGCTTTGGGGACATGCCTAGACCACAGCAGATCCATGTTGACATGAACCAGCATTTGCTGCCTTCCATGTTCCTGGTAGGCTGGCTCTCCCCTATTTACTGTTTTCCTTCAGGTGCTTGGATGAGGCTGAAAAGGCACTAAAACCTTCCATACCTCAGATCCCTGAGTGCCCGATTTGTGGCAAACCGTTTCTCAGCTCCAAGAGCAGAATCAGTCACCTGAAGCAGTGTGCAGTGAAGATGGAGGTGGGCCCCCAGCTCCTGCTGCAGGCCGCGCGGCTGCAGACAGCTCAGTTGGAGGCAGGCGGCAGTCTTCCTGTACCCAGGTGAGACACATGACGAAAAAAGGAGCCAAATGATAGTGTTGATATGTGGTTTGAACTTTTTTTTGGGGGGGGGGTAGTTGTAGATGGACAGAATGCTTTTATTTTATCTATTTTTTTGTTTGTTTGTTTGTTTTTTTAATGTGGTGCAGAGGATCAAACCCAGTGCCTCACACAGGTTAGCTTTGCTCATACTGCCCTGGGGCTCAGGACACCCAAATTGATCCCAACTTTAGAGGGAACGAAGGCACTGTGGGCCTCAGACTATTTTAGGTTTGGGACTTCTTTTCTTTGACAGCTAGTAGGAGTATAGGGAAGACGAAGGTTGGGGACTGTTTATACCACTGTCTTGCCTGTGGGTCATGGGCAGCTGGGCTTGGTCAAGCTGAGATTGCAGAGGCAGAGGGGTTCTCTTAGCTGAGAAGCCCATTTATATTTAGACATCCACACTAGATTATAGGATGGGCAGCCTGAGGCTTGTGAATAGACTGTCTCACCCATTGCTTGCCAATCAGATTAAATGTCTGCTTCTAAAATTCTCCCAAGTAGTGAAACTAGACATATGTGGGTCCTAGAAGGCAGGTTGAATAGAAAGCTACAGGAATTGGATACCCTTGAGGGGTCTTTGAACTCACCCTCCTGAGGCCAAGCCTGGGCATGTGGCTCTCTGGCACAGCTCGCTGGCCTGGGTGCCTATGTTGCCTGGGCACCCAGCCCCTGAGCTCCTCACTTGCTTTCCTGGAGCTCAGGCCCTGCCGCCCTCATAGGAGCAGGCTGGCCCCTTTCCCTTTGGCAGTTATGGTTCCTAGGAAGCTGGAGCTGAGTTAGGGCTTGCTTAGATCTTCCAAAGCACCCCTGGGAATCTCCAGCCTTCCTCACCCAGCAAGAACACAGCATTTGCAAAAGCCAGGGCAGGCAGATTCCCTCCAGCCAGAGACCCCTCCACACTAACTGCCCATGTTAGAGGCGCTGCACTAGCTGAGGCTGCTCACTGTTGAAGGAAAGGAGGCCCTTCCTTTAGGCCTGGAGTAGAGACATTGCCCTGGAGCCCCTGAAGGAAGGGCTGCTTTGGGGCCACCTGAAATTTCAGTGCAAATCTAGGGAGCCAACTCAGAGCCATCAAGTGTTGACTACACCAGAAGGTTTGGACACAACTAGGGTTTACAGGGACCACCAGTGGCTTTGTCTGTCCGCTAAGAACCTAACTGGACAGTCATAGAAAGGGCCCAGATCCTTCTGTGTCCCGCCCGTGCTGAACTTTTGGCGAGGATTGTGTGAGCTCAGGAGGAGCAGAATCAGCACAGTGGAAGCTGAGGTGACTGATGGCATGTCAATCCTTTTCCTGTCACCCCTAAAAGGGAAGAGGCCCAGGCTTTGGGGATGCCCTCACCAGCCTTTCTCTGTGCCTTTTAGCTCCGGCAGTCACACTAGGGGTTTGAAACGGAAAGGAGCCACCAACAAGAAGGAGCCACAGAAGAGGCGGAAGGTTAGCAAGCCCAGCGTGCCATCCGAGGACCTGCTGGTGGCCATGGCTCTGTCCCGATCTGAGATAGAGCAGTGTCCAGCTGTGCCTGCACTCATACTAGAAAACGCTTTTTCTGAGAGAATGAGACCAGGAGCAGGTATGAGTGGCTGGGAGCAGGGCCCCCCCGGAGATCTCGCTGCTGTGCCATGACTAAGTTCCTCTTAGTGGGGGCTTCCAGACAAGGAGATAGATCCATCACTGACTGAGCCACTTCTGTTTATCTCTAGAGAAAAAGAGTCGCAAGAAGAAACCCCCGGCATCCCCGCCACAGTTGTTAGTTCAGGATTCTGAGACCACAGGTAGACAGATTGAGGACCGCGTGGCCCAGCTGCTTTCAGAGGAAGCTGAGCTGTCCAGCACGCCACCACTTCCTGCCAGCAGGATTTTCAAGGAAGAATGGGAAGAGGCAGGCTGGCGTCTACAGCTGCCTGAAGGAAAGAGGAACTTTCTGTGGGAGGGAAGTGCCCTGACTAGGGCCTGGGCTGTGGAGTCCTTTTACACCATGGGCCTGGTACCTCCCATCGTGCCCCAGCAGCCAGCCAAGGTGAGCCTGTCCCTCCTAGCACATGGACAGGCTTTGGGGAGAGTGCAGAAATGCAGCCCTGGATATGACAGTGGGCAATGAGAAGTCCAGGAAATAGAAGGGGAGGAAGCCAAAGGGGCACCAGCTGCCACTCATTTCTCCTTCTAGCAACTAAGTGGTTCTCTTGATAAGAAAGGAAGGGCTTTGGCTCCAAAAATTAGCATGCCCTCCACCCCCAGGGGGACTAGTAAAGTCTTTCCTCAGAGGATCCTCCTGTAGGAGGTCCTCAGTCAACACTCACTGCATGCAGCCATTTAGATGACATTAGGTCCCCTTCCAGCCCAGGGATGGACTGCAGACATGGATGCCATGGCCCAGCCGGGCCATGACAGAGCCCAGGATACAGGGATGAGAGAAAGCCTCCCAGGACTGCTCCTGGCTGTGACTGGCCACCCTCAGAACAGCCCTTTTCCTGCTATGCAATTTTAGGTCCAGCCGTGTAGGGGGGAGGTGGCTGCTGCAGTGCGTGACAGTGATCAAGCTGCTGTTTTCCACCTTCTTGCAGGGTCTCAGGCAGGAACCTGAGCTACCACTGGTGCTGTGGGAGCAGCCAGAGCCAAGCGTGCAAAAGTCACCTGCTCTCCACAGCAGCCACCCTGCAGGCCTTGGCCCCAGGGACCCGTTGCTCTCTGCCAGCCAGAGGGAGCACCAAGCCCTGCAGGACCTCATGGACCTGGCGGAGGAGGGGCTGAGTGGCAGCCCATGGCCCTGCAGTGGGGTTGCAGGTGAGCCCTGGGGTTTTGGGCCAGCCCTACCTGATGTGGCTGGCCAGGCTAGACCGAGCTGTGAGGTAGCTCAGACCTGAGGCTCATCCCAGCTCAACGTGAGGGTCAGGCCTTGGGTGTTTTCCTTAGAGGGAAGTGTGATGTAGGACACTTGTGTCTGCCACAGTTTTGCAAGAAGTTCAACCAAAGACTGAGCCATCCTCGCTAACTTTGTCTGTTTTACTGTCCTTTTACCTCCCCCTCAGGAAGGGTGGTGAGAATAGTCTTGGTGGTGTGCTTTAAGTGCAGGTGGCCTTGGCTGGCAGTTTGCCAGGGCACTGCTGGTGCAGCCCAGCCTAAGGTGGTGCTGCCTGCTTGGTGGTTGACGTTGCCAGGAAGTGATGTTCTAATGAGTGACTCCTTCTCTCAGGGATAGATTCGGTGCCCAGCAGCCTTCCACTGACTGGCTTTGTCCTGCCATTCAAGGAGAAGCCTCCTGAGAGAGGTGTCCACACTTCGGTAAGGATGGGCTTCTGTGCCACAGGCCAGGCTTTTGGCTCTGCTCCAGCTCCATGGTCTTGGCCACTGGTGCTCAAATACTGGTCTCTGCTTCCCAGATGACTGACACCCTGACTGGCCCTTGAATGGAGCCAGCAGAGAGCCCACCTGCCCTGAGTCCCCTCCTGGTGCTTCTGTCCCTTCATCCTTGGATGCTGTGGGTTACCTCAGCACCAAAGCCTTGGAGCCTCTCTGTCCTGGGAGCCCAGTGGGACTGCTGACTGCAGCTTCCTCATCCTGGCATCTGCTCACATGCTCCTTTCCTTCATTGTGTAGGGACTTGCTGTGACCCTTCTGTGTGTGGGTCCTGGGCTCCAACTAATGGTCCAGTGTCCCATGTTGTTGGCAGAGAGCATTAGAAGTTGGGTCCTTTTTTTTTTTTTTACACCTTTATTTATTTATCTATCTATCTATCTATTTACTTATTTATTTAAATATTTATTCTTTAGTTGTAGTTGGACACAATACCCTCATTTGTTTTTTATGTGGTGCTGAGGATCGAACCCAGGGCCCCGCGCTTGCCAGGCGAGCGTGCTACACTGAGCCACAACGCCAGCCCCTATTTATTTATTTTTATGTGGTGCTGAGGATCGATGTCTTGCACATGCTAGGCAAGCGCTCTACCATTGAGCCACAACCCCAGGCCCAGAAGTTGGGTACTTTTTAGAGTGGACATCATCCCAGGAGACCCAGCACCTCATGCCATGGGCCAGCCTGGTGATGTCACCACGTATAGTCAGGAAATGGCAGGTCCCCGAGCACCTTGAGCTCAGGGTTCTGGTCTGCTACATCAGGCTGCTCTGAGGATTGGGTGTGACAGCATGTGCACACACAATCCCAGAGGCTGCGAGGACATCTTATCGTAATCCACTTGCAGGTCCCTTCTGTTGTGGGTCAGGGAGCACAGAATGCTAGGGAACCTGAGACAGAAGTAGTGTTTTGCTCCTCTGGATCACTGAGGGCTTTAAGGTAACCCAGAGGTGGTGCAGGCACGTTCTAGAGAGGAGAGCAAGCGTCCTGGCTCAGCCCACCCTAGTGCCCCACCCCGCCCCCGTTGGGGCCCTCAAGGCCCAGTTAGAAAAGCTAGGATTCCTCCTTTTCTCCTTCTGCAGGTCTCCCTGGGGCTGTTGGCTGCTGACTTCAGTGCCATGGTCAATAACCCACACCTGAGTGACGTCCAGTTCCAGATGGACAGTGGGGAGGTGCTTTATGCCCACAAGTTTGTGCTTTATGCCCGATGTCCACTTCTCATTCAGTATGTAAGTATGCAGGGCAGTGGCCAGCACGTCCCTCTCGCCCTCCCTTGCCACCTTTCTCCGACCAGGCCCTTCCTCACTCCTCGTCTCACCCCACACTGCTGTCCTGTCGCAGAGCAGGCTTCCTGATGGTTGCCAGCAGGGTCTGCTTCTGTGGTTCTGTGGAGAAGGGAGGACTGCAGAGCTGGGAAATGTCCATTTTTTTTTTTTTTTTTTTGGTACTCGGAATTGAACCCAGGGGCAACATCCCACTGAGCAACATCCTCAGTCCCTTTTTGTATTTTTTTTAATATATTTTTTTTAGTTGTAGATGAACACAATATCTTTATTTATTTATTTTTATGTAGTGCTGAGTTTTAAATCCAGTGCCTCACACATGCAAGACAAGTGATCTATCACTGATCCAACCCCAGTCCCCCTTTTGTATTTTAATAGAGACAGGGTCTTGCTGAGTTGCTGTGGGCCTTGCTAAGTTGCTGAGGCTGGCTTTGAACTCACAATCCTTCTGCCTCAGTCTCCCGGGCTTCTGGGATCACAGGCGTGTACCACTGCAACTGGCCAGATTTTCAGTTCCTTATTTTCCCCTCAGAATTGTTCCCTTTTTCCTCCATTTGTACTCTTTTAAAGTCTTACATCAGTCTCTTTAAGATTGAGTTGCTGTTCAGACATGTTCTAACTTATAGGAATCCAAGAAATTAGTCTGTGTCAGAAAACTCTAGACCCTGTCAAAGGAAAATGAACTAGCTCCTTAAACATCCACCCATAATGTGACTTTGAAAATAAGAACTGTTATATCCCAAGCCAGGAATGGTGGAACCCACCTGTAATCCCAGTGGCTTGGGAGGCTGAGGCAGAAGGATTGAAAGTTCAAGGCCAATCTTAGCAATTTATTGAGATCCTGTCTCAAAACAGAAAATAGAAAGGGCTGGGGATGTGGCTCAGTGGTTAAGCACCCCTGAGTTCAATCCCTGGTACAAAAAAAATAAAGAGAAATGTTATAGCCCATCCTCCAGAGTTGTGGCCAACTAAATGCACAGCAAAGGCCCAGGCTCAAGACACATGGACATCTGGACAATCTGCTCACTCCAAGTCACAACTGTCCAGTCAATTAACCTTCCGTATTTTGTTTTATTTTCAGGTGAACAATGAAGGCTTCTCTGCTGTAGAAGATGGTGATCTGACCCAGCGTGTCCTACTGAGCAACGTGAGCTTCGAGGCGGCCTGTGCATTCCTGCACTATCTCTACACAGCAGATACTAGCTTGCCTCCGTGCCTGGTCCCTGCCCTGAGCTCCTTGGCCCTCAGGTTGGGACTGTTCCTTCCACAGCTTCACAGTCTTTGAGTCAGTGGTGAGGGCTGGCAGACTGACAGCTCAGGGGAAGATTGTGCTGCAGGAATGTCAGGGCTGAGGCTGTCAAAACTTGGAGTCCTAGCCAGGTCTGTTAGTACACCTAATGTCCTAGTGGCTCAGGAGGCTGAAGCAGGAGGATCACAAATTCAAAGCCAGCCTCAGTAACTTAGTGAGGCCCTAAGCAACTTACTAAGACCTTATCTCTTAATAAAACATAAAAAGGGCTGGGGATGTGGCTCAGTAGTTAAGCATGCCTGGGTTCAATCCCCATTACTCCCTTCCCCCAAAAAACTTTGAAAGTCCAATTTTAATCACAAGATTATGACCAGTGACAACTCTGAATAGAGTATGGTAGTTGAAAATTGGGATGCCAAGCCCTGGATAGGGAGGATTCTGCCAGGCCACAAGCATGATGAGAGGCTGGCCCGCGGCCTCAGCATCCCCACACTGCAGCCTCTTGATCATCCCCTGTGAGCTCAGCAGTAGCAGCAGGCATCCTGCCTCCCAGCCACCTCAAGGGCCTTGGGGGTGAAGCCTTGCTCCTCCCAGGCTGCCTCATTCCTCAGTGTCTGGGAAGGAACAGCTCAGCCCCCGTGTTTAAGAGGCAATGCTGAGTCCCAGAGCCTCGGGGCAGTGGCTGACTGGCCTGCTCTGGTCTCTGACTGACTATCCCAGGGGCCTCTCAGGGCAGCCTGCACTGTGCAGATTTGCAGCCCTGCCAGCCCCTCCATCCCGTGCTCTGTCTACACACCCCTGTGTTTGTAGCAGCCCAGTAAATGTGGTAGGTCTCTGGTTCCTAGAGCTAGTGGCTGCGGTGTCCTGGGCAGGAGAGTGGGCGCCATCTTAGGAGAGTGGGGAAGGCCACAGCCGAATCCCTTGGCTGCTCCTCCTCCTGAAGACAGCTTGGGCCACCACCCTAGTGGTGGTGACACAGTGCTTCCTGTTGCAGGTTTGGTGTGAATGACCTCGTTCACCTGTGTGAGCAGGTGCCTGTCCTGATGGACTCCGAGGGCGAACAGCAGGAGAAGGAAGATGAGAACTGTGACAGCAGAGTGGAGAATCTCCAAGAGCTCTTGAGGGCAGTGTGGGCGGATGAGGAGGAGGAGGAAACAGAGAGCCACCAAGAAGACAGAGTGCAGGTCAATGAAGCAGAGATGGAAGAAATTTATGAATTTGCAGCTACTCAGCGAAAGCTACTCCAGCGGGAGAGAGAAGCAGACACAGAGGAGGACAGTGACTACCCCGGGAAGGACAGTCCAGTGGCTGGGCCTGTGCTGGGAAGGGTCCAGAGTGACGAACAGTTAGAAAAGCAAGAACAATCGGAGTTGTCTGGGCCTGGCAAAGAGGAGGCCTCAGCCACCTGGGGAAATGCACCACATTCCCTTCCGCTGCTCCCGGGCCTGCGTTCAGTCAGCACAGGGGAGGCAGAGACCCACGAGCAAGAGGTGCCAATAGGGGCACCTGGCCCGAGCCCCTCTGGGGGCTGCCAGGCAGGGGGAAAAGAAGGCTTCCTTTTGCATCCAGTGAAGATCCACAATCACCAGCAGGCCTGTTCATCAACTCAAGGATCTGAACTGTCCCAAATAATGAGCAGCCCTGAGGAGCAGAGTGGCACTGTCAGGGAGAGGCAGGTGGAGATGGCCTGTCCTCTGGCTCCACAGCAGATATCCCTGCCACACCCATGCTACCTCCTGTCACAGCCCCCCGGAGGCAGGAGTCCTGGCCAGTCACAGTTCCACCTTGACATAGGTGATCCATCCCCAGCAGCGTCTCAGTCATACGGTGGTGCTTCCCGGGTGGCCTCCCCAGGCTCACTGTCCCCACTTGTACCTTTAAGGCAGAAGAGGGACAATAGTTTTCTCACTTCATTCACAGAGCCAGGTCACTGGAAAGGCAAAGGATGTAGTTCCATGTTAGAAGGCAAAACCAAGGGTGTCCCGATTTCTCCAGAAAAATCTTCACCCATTGACCTGACCCAGTCACAGCCTGACCACTTGAGTACCAGCTCCCAGGACCTCCCATCCCACTTGAGCAAAGAGAATGAGATTATCCTTTTACTGGATTCAGATGAAGAGTTGGAACTGGAACAAACCAAAACAAAGTCCATTTCTAATGATCTCCCAGAGGAAAGGAAAGTTCTAGAATTCAGCCCTAGGTCCTCTGAACTATTTTCAGTCATTGATGTTGATGCAGATCAGGAATGTTGCAGCCCACTGAAGGAAGGAGCTGGGATACAGCGGGAGGAAGAAGAGGGAGAGCTGGAAAATCAGGATGCATTGGGCCGTGGAAGGGTCCCCTGGCTGTTATGTGACCAGGAGAGCAGCCTCCACGAGGACAGCACAGACACCTCATGGCTGGTGCCTGCCACCCCACTGGCCAATAAAAGCCGTGACTGCTCATCACAAACCCAGATAACAAGCCTTGTTCCCAGGACTCCAGGGGACAAGATGGGTCCGCACACGCCCAGCGCCGCCTCAGAAAACAGGGCCGCTCAGGAAGCTGCACAGTCTTCAGTGAACACGCCCCAGATGTCACCTGTCACCCCAGGAGCCTCTGACAGTGGAAGGCAGGTCTACAGAAGCCCTTCCGGTCCCCACCCCAGGTACTGCTCACTTTCTTCTCCACGTGCACAGCAGCCCGCTATAGGAGGCCTCACCGATGTCACCAGCAGGTTCCAGAAACTCTCACCACTGGGGCCATTCCTGCCGAATCAGGCTGCAGCAGGCGAAGTGGTGGAAGTTGGGGACAGTGAAGATGAGCAGGAAGTGGCCTCCCATCAGGGAAACAGCAGTACACTGCAGGATAGTGACCCCCCAGTTCCAGTGGATGACTGTTGTTGGCATGTTGAGCCCCTCTCACCAATTCCAATTGACCACTTGAACCTCGAACGGACTGGCCCCCTGAGCACCAGCAGTCCCAGCGGACGGGCCCATGGGGCTCTAGACAGCAGTGACTGCCACTCCCCAGGACTCCCCGGCACCACTCCAATTCGAGGAAGCTGTGCTGCCCATAGAGAACCTCAGCAGCAGTCCCCACAGGCCGGCTCCTCAGGGAGCAGCAGGCTCAGCTTCCTGAACACAGCTCTGTGGGACAACTGGGATGGGGAAGAGCAGAAGTCTCCAGAGGCTTCGCCTGTGGCCCAGACACCAAGTGCCCACCGAGCTCAGCGGTTAGAAGGGCCGGAAACGCCAAGTGAGTGGCCATGAGGGTGGGGAGGGATCTTGTCTTGTAGGCTGTTTGACCCCGCAGGGGTGTGGACAGCAGTAATGGGACGGGGCTGATGATGCTGAAGGCATGCTCACCTAGGGGGTGAGCTCACCTGGGGGGCCCTTCCTTCCATTGCCTACAGACCGTTTCCACAGCGCTGGGAAGCTGGCAGGCTGTCGAGCTCATTCTCCGCGGCCAGTTGGTCAGCGTTCCTAAGCTGACCTGGATCTCACTAGTGCTCACCTGGGAACTTGTTAAAACTCTGTACCAGCTGGGCGTGGTGGTGCAGGCTTGTAATCCCAGTGGCGCGGGAAGCTGAAACAGGAGGATCACAAGTTCAAAGCCAGCCTCAGCAAAAGCCAGGCACTAAGCAACTCAGTGAGACCCTGTCTCTAAAATATAAAATAGGGCTGGGGATGTGGCTCAGTGGTTAAGTGCTTCTGGTTCAATCCCCAGTACCCATTTAAAAAAAAAAAAAAAGCTTTGTACCTTACGAACTCCCCTCCAGAGCCCTGGACCAGCATCCCCAGAGGTGGCAGCTCCCAGCAGCAAACATCATAGTTGCAATTCCACACTCACCGGTGTGTCCACAGTCCTCCAGGACAGGGACTCAGATAGCTGCTTATGGCACATCGGCAGCACTAGTGTTGATAGACGGTGTAAGTTACCCAGATGTCCCTCTACTGACGAACAGGCAAGCAGAATGTGCTTTATCCACACTGTAGAAGGTTCAACCATAAAAAAACGCGACAGTGTGGATGAACCTTAAAAACGTTATGCTAAGTGATGGAAGCCAGACAGCAAAGGCCACATGGTGTATGATTTCATTTCTATGAAATACCTAGAAATCCAGAGCGATAGAATGAAGACCAGCAGATGCTTGGAGCTAAGGGATGGGTGACTACTTACTGGGTACAGGGTTTCCCTCTGGGGTGATGCAGATGTTTTGGAACCAGATAGAGGGTGGCTGCCCAACACTGAATGTAGTGACACATTTTTAATGTGAATTCCATTCTCGTTAGACAAAAGAGGGGCTAGGGGCAACTCGGAGCACATGCTTAGTATGCATGAGGTCCTGGTTCGAGCCCGAGTGGGGCCTGGTGTGGTGGCGTCTGGTGGTGCACGCCTATAATCCCAGCGGCTTGGGAGGCCAAGGCAGAAGGACTGCAAGTTCAAAGCCAGCCTCAGCAATTTAGCAAGGTCTTGAGACGGTCTCAAATGGAAAATAAAAAGAGCTGGGGATGTAACTCAGTGGTAAAATGCCCCTGGGTTTAATCCCCTGGACTTAAAAAAAAGAACAAAAACAGGAATGGGGAGACTGTGAGCCCCTGCTCTTCCTCACCCCCTCTGGGAAGTGGGGCTCATCTCAGACACCCTAGGAGGCTCAAAGCCTCGGCTCCCAGCCAGGCACTTCGAGTGAAGGGAGGAAGGGCCTGCTGCATTGAGACGTGACGGACACAGCACGCAGCACTGCAGCCTGGTGCTTCCTTCCCTCCAAGATCCCAGATCAGTCAGGCCATTGATGGTGCTTACCCTTCAGTGGTTTCAGAGTTGCTGAGAGCTTGTTAAAATGCATGTGTCACCGGGGCTGGGGTTGTGGCTCAGCAGTAGAGTGCTCGCCTAGGACATGTGGAAGACGTGGGTTTGATTCTTAGCACCACATAAAAATAAATAAATAAAATAAAGGTATTGTGTCCAGCTACCAATATATATATATATATATATATATATATTTTTTTTTTATATTTTTTTTTTTTTTTTTTTTTTCCTTAAATGCATGTGTCACCAGTTACACACCTTTAATCCCAGCCACTCAGGAGGCTGAGGCAGGAGGCTCACAAGTTCAAAGCCAGCCTCTGCCAAAGGTGAGGTGCTAAGTAACTCAATGAGACCCTAACTCTAAATAAAATACAAAATAGGGCTGGGAATGCAGCTCAGTGATTGAGTGCCCCTGAATTCAATCCCTGGTACAAAAAAAAAAAAAAAAAGTGCATGTGCCATTTTAACATGCTAGAGCTTCTGCTTCAGGAGGCCCCTGGGGACTCAGAATTTGCATTTCTTACCAGTTCCCAGAGTGGTGCTATGAGGACTTTTGCAGCAGCTTGAGACCTGGGCACCTCAGTCGGAATCTGAGGGAGGCTCAGAGACAAACTCTGAAACCATAAGAGGCAGAGCCTTGGAGAGGCCCTGTGGCCACAGAAGGATGAGAGGGAGAGTCTGCATGGCCCTTATTTGTCTCTGTCTTTTTAAAAGCAATGGCTTTATTGAGATACAATTTATATGGTATAAAATTCACCCTCTTAAAATGTACTGTTGGGTAGTTTGCAGCAGTCATCGTGCTGTGCAGCCGCCCCGTGGTACAGTTCCAGAGGTTCTCGCCGCCTCAGAGCCGAAGCCCGTCAGCAGCCACCTTGCCAGCCCTGCAGCTGCTCATCCACTTTCTGTCCCTTTGAATTGACTGCTCTGCACACTTCATATAGAGTGCCCCTAGGTTCAATCCCTGCTACCCTCCAAAAAAAGAAAAAAGTGCAAGACTGTTTGCCAAAGCGGCTGCTCCATTTTCCATCCTTCCCAACCAGCTGCTGTGAGGGTTGTGATTTCCCCTGCCTTTGCCAGCACTCACTGCTGTGTCATTCCATCCAGCCTGGTGGGTTCCCAGTGGCATCTCATTGTGGTTTTGGTTTGTATATTCTTGATGGCTCACAATGCTGAGTGTCTTTTCATGTGCTTCTTGGACATTCATATATCTTTGGAGAATCGCCTGCTCAGATTCTTTGCCTGGTTTTTTTGTTTGTTTGGTTTTGTTTCAGGTGCTGGGGATTTTGAGGAACCAGGGCCTTGCACATGCTAGGCAGGCGCTGTACCACTGAGCCACATCAAGCACTTTTTTTAATATATAAAAAAGACAGCAGAATGCATTACAATTCTTATTACATATAGAGACCACAATTTTCATATCTCTGGTTGTATACACAGTATATTCACATTGATTCGTGTCTTCATATACATCAAGCACTTTTTGAGACAGGATCTAAGTTGCCTAGGCTGGCCTCAAACTCCTGCTTCACCCTCCCAAGTAGCTGGGATTACAGGCATACCCCATTGTGCCCAGGTCTTTGCTCATTTTTAATTGAGTTATTTGTCTTTATTTTTTAATTATTAAAAAGTACTAATGTCTAAGCCTGTCAGTGCTGCCCATTATCAGAAGCCAGACCTGTATCAGGTGTTGGGCTGTTGGGTTGAGCAGCCCCAGGGGCCCATTTCCTGGGCATCAGCACTATACAAGGTTGTGCTCTAGGCTGCTTTCCAACGGGAAGATGTGACTCCAAACAAGGGTGGGTATCTTTGCTTTCATGGGGCCAAGTGCTGCTTGGAGTCTTTGAGAGATGTATTTCTCTTGGTGACACTTGCAGAACTGGAAGTGGTCACAGATCCACATCTCAGACTGAGATTTTTGCTTCTTCTGTTTTACCCAGAAGGTGCTAATCAGAAGAAGAACTTGCCCCCCAAAGTGCCCATAACTCCAATGCCAAGGTATTCCATCATGGAGACCCCGTTGCTGAAGAAAGAGCTGGACAGGTTGGTGGTGCTCTTGAAAGCTTGCTTGCATGTAGTCTTTTCCCTCCTGCACATTACCAAGCTCAGCAAGACTGGGAGTGGAACTGTCCAACAGGTGGCCTTTCAGATCTGATGGGCACTGCTGGGCCAGGCCAGGGAAGAAGTTGTGCCATCAACTCTGCAGGGAGTGTGTGGCTCCTGGGGTGGGGTGAACGGCCTGGGACTGTCTGCATACTGCTCCCAGATTACATGGGCCCAAAAGAAGCCAACCAATGAGACTCCTTTGTGTCACCATAAGGAAACAGGTCTCCATGCTCCACAGGGTGAGCGGCACCTGGGGAACTCGCTGCAGAGCACTATAAGGATGCCCTCGTGGGTACTGTGCAGCATAAGCTTGCTTGGTGCATGAGTGTTCTTGGAGGACGTTCCTTGAATCCGTTGGTGTTTGCTCTGTGCTGACATAGAACAGCTTGGAGTGTGTAGGCAGGCTGCAGAGCTGTGTCGAAGTTCACCTGTTTCCCCATCCAGGTTTGGAGTCCGCCCTCTCCCTAAACGCCAGATGATTTTGAAACTGAAGGAGATTTTCCAGTACACTCACCAGACCCTGGAGTCTGACTCTGAGGATGAGATCCAGTCCTCACAAGTGCCACTGGAGGCACCTTGCAGCCAGACCCTGACCACTGAGACCTATAGGCCTTCACAGGCAGGCCACACCCAGTCTAAGGCCACTGCAGGTCCTAGGACCCAAAGGTCCAAAGGTCCCACTAAGGCCAAGGGCCCCCGACATCCAAAGCACCAGCCTGGTGAAAGCATTCCGCACCCAAGGAAGTCAGCAGCTGAGGAGCCATCTCCAGGCCCTGATGGTGACACTCAGCTCCCAGCCTCCCAGGAATCCGTGGCCACCTATGTGGACAGCAGTGACAGCTCCTTCAGCTCACAGAGGTAACTGGATGGAAGCGACAGGGCTGCCTCATGTGTCCTCTGACTAGCAGGGCTGAGGGTGGGCTCAGCACGGCCTGATGGTGATGTTTAGAAGCCTGTTGTCTTGGGCTTAAACTGTAGGAAGCCCGGGTGGCAGACCTTTCCTTGCCCACACGCCCAGAGTTTATGGCTTACGGGGGATCCAGCTCAGGCAGCCCAGCTATAGGGTACCATCAGGAGATCCTGCCACCCTGGGGGGTGGTCATCTCTGCCATGCCATGCCCCACAGGGACACAGAAACACACTTCTGGCCCCAGGCTAGAGAGGAAGGGCACCCCAAAACGTCATGTGTTCTTTTCAGTTCTTCCTCCTGTGAGTTTGGAGCCACCTTTGAGTCTGCAGGTGAAGACGAGGAGGGTGAGGAGGCGGTCAGTGCATCACAGGCAGCCGTCCAGGCAGTGGACATGGAGGAAGCTGTGAGACGCTACATCCGCTCCACGCCAGCCCTATACCGGAAGGTGCTGACGTACCAGCCCCTTGAGCTGGCAGAGCTGCAGGCCGAACTGAAGCAGAATGGCATCCGCGTGGCCACAGGCAAGCTGCTGGACGTCCTAGACACCCACTGCATCACCTTCACCACCGCTGCAGCCCGGAAGGAGAAGCTCAAGCAGAAGGGGCGACGGCGTGTGGGCAGGAAGAAAGGGGTGTGGGATTGACAGGGCCCTGCCCCATCCCCACTGCCAGTGGCCTGTAGCATCTATGCCCAGCACAAGTCACCCCCTCTGGCCATCTCCAGGAGGGCCTGGGTACCCAGGGTCAGATGTCCACAGGCATGCCTGGGCCTCAGGACATCAGCCCACCTGCCTCCTCCTGACCAGCTTCTGCTGCAATAGCTGGAGCATGGTGCCCACTTAGTTAGGGTCCTGTGAGAGGGTCATAGTGCCTGTCAGGCCCTGCCAGTGTGTGCCAGAGGGGCAGTAAACCACCCCAGCTGGCCAAGGGAAGGCCATTTCTGCCCCTTCTGCCATTCGGTGTCCTTTAGGCCCAGGCAGACTGCCCCATGAGTGTGTCCCAAGATGTCTGTCGGGTCCAGCCTGCCCCAGTTGGCCAGCCTGTCTTCCTTCTCTGCACTCAGACCAATCCCAGTCACCACCAGCAGACCCTGGCATCTGCAGGCTGCCTGCACCACCATGCCTCAGGGGCAGCTTCTGGCACAGCTGCCCAGACTTGTCATTGTCACCAGCAGTCTCCAAACTGAACAGTACACAGGGCCCGGCACACCCCTGCAGACCCCTGTTTGTTAGTGGGTTCCATCCACAGGTGGAAGCTGCCTCTGGCCTGGGAGTAGTGTGGAGCACGGGCGGAGCTGGAGAGGAGCAGAGCTTGGGCCTCCATGTCCTGTGAATGTCCTCGTCTGTCAAATTCAGCACAGTTGGTTTTATATGATGTGCAATAAACATAAAAAAGACTATAAAAACCAAATGCTATGCCCTGGAAAAATCTGCAGGAGCTTGAGCCCAGCCCCTGCTGCCCACCTGAGGTGGCAGAGACTTCTTTGTGCCTGCTCTCTTGGGTTCCAGGCCATCGTCTCCCCTTTTTCTGGTTTCTGGATAACAGACACAGGTGCTCACTTGTTCCCACACTGAAGGGAGCCCTCACTGGCTGTGCTCAGGAGGCCTGGGCACTGTGCCCAGCCTTATCTGGGGGGCATTTCAGGAGCAGGGTGCTTAGACCTGCCAGTCAACCTGCCTTTGTACAGTCAATCACTGCCATGGCCTGTCCCCTGCCTAGCATGGGGGTCAGGGCTCCGTGGCCTGGAGTGGCATCAGGGACAGCTTCCTGGAAGAGGGATTTGTGAACTGGGCATTAGGGCAGATAGCACTTAGGAGAAAATGGGGCTTCATAAATATGTAGTGTGTGTGCTGGTGGCCACCAGGTGGAGGGACCCCAACCTGGCTTACATTGCTGTGGCACCCAGAAACAGTAATTGAGGAGGAGGTTGCTGCTTCCAGAAGGGGAGGGGTAGTGTGGGCCGCTGCCATCAAGGAACAGTGCAGATGGAGGGGCCTAGTTACTGAGCTGAAAATGGTGGTGAGGGGCTGCTTCAAGCCCAAGTCAGGGGGCATCCCCTCCAAAGGCTTCCTGTCCCTGGCAGGAAAAAAGCCCTGAGCCCCTGCAGAATGTTCGCTGGATTGCCTGAATCTTGATGCAATGTGACCAGACTGCCACACCTGCCCACTTCCTGTGGCCTTGGTCCTGGCCACAGCCTGCATTCGTCCACTCAGAGAACAGTCAGAGGAGAACCACTGGCCCAGGCAACGAGGCTCACAGGGAAGGGCCCTGGGCTCCGCAGGCAGGACGCCTCATGCGGCTGCTGAGTGGACAGAAAGCCCCAGACCACTAAAGACTCAGGAGCCTCTTCATCCCCCAACCATCCCCAACTCCCAGGAACCAGAATGCCCTGCCCCCAAGTTAACTGCCAAGAACAGGGATCAGCCCTGTGTAGGTTGAAGGACATGCCTGTGAGCTGGGGTGTAGCTCTGGGAGGCTCCCCGAGATCATTTCCTCTCCTGTGTGCTCAGCATCTGTCCGCAGGAACCTAGGAAGGAGGCAGAGTGAGCCTCTGTGTCCTCCTCATGTGACAGACCCAAGGCCCTGTGGTTTCCAGCATCCTGTGGGCGGCTTGGCTTCAGCTTTTGCTGCACCCCAGGGCCGAGGCGCAGCCACCAGTTCTGGGCTCTGCCTGCCTGGAGGCTCACGGGCTTCTGGGGGCCCAAAGTCGCATCCTCTCAGCACCAGGCACATCCCTGGGTGCTCAGAAAGCACTACTGGAAAGGAGCGGGGGAGGCAGACGGAGGGTGTCATGAAACCCAGTTCCCCCTCCATCACCTGGAGAACCAGCGGAGAACTGGTGCGTGCCCTGCCCCCGCGACAAGCTGCTGTGTGCACCTGACTCACTGCTCTGCGCCACAGCCATTGCTGGCTCCAGCTTGCTTGTTGAGGAAATGCAGTCCCCAAGGCCCCCATCCCTCACCTTGTCACCGATTTCCCTCGGTGTCCACGTGTTAAGTGGCTGGCTCCCTGTCAGAGGAGGATGTTCCGCATCTTTCCTTTTTGTAAGTTTTCTCAGGATGTTCACTCTGGGCCACGGTTCCTCCCTCCCACGCCCTTCCCTGCCGGGACCCACCACCTGGGGGTTCTGCCTGCAGGCCTGGGTGATCCCTGCCATGAACAGCCACATTCTGCAGTTTCAAGGTGCAGGGGACCTGGCGTCAGGGGCTCCTGAACTCACAGATATTGTGGGGTCCAGCTAGTCTGAAGGTGCCTGTGGAGTGACAGAAGGGGGAGAGAAAGGGAGGATTCACCACAGGTGGGAGGAGTCCAGCCCCAGAGGTCTTGGCACCCAGGCACTGACCTTCCCCACCACCTGCCATCTGTTGATGGCCTGTCTCCCTTTTTGGCGGGAGGAAGGGACATGAGGACAGCTTTGACACTGTACCACTTTGTGCCAAGCACAGTCTGCAGGGATACTTGGTCCCAGAATCGAGGCTCCAGTGTCACTCCCTGCTCTTAGACTTGTGGGGTGATGACAAAGCGAGGTGAGCCCGAGGCAAACCCAGCTCATTGATCTGTGTGAGACTGTTGGCTTTTGAAATCAGACAGGAAGGAAGGCCGAGGTGGAGCCTGGCGGCACAGGAAGAGGTGAGCAGCCAGGGCCGCAGTGACAGGTGACGGCACGAATTAAGCTTCCCGGATCCCTTCTGACCAGGCTTCCTCAGCCTCGGACAGAGCCCAAGGACTCGGATAGCCTGCCACAGGGATACCCAGGGCCTCCCACCGCTGCCCAGCACTGGGGCAGGGCAAAACCCAGTGGCAAGGAGATGGAGCTCCCCGGCTCCCCATTCTTGTCATCTCTGGAGCAGCAGCTTGGCCCAGGAGGTAAGCAGAGTCCAGGCCACCTCAGTGAGGGGCAGACGAGGCGGGGGGGTGGGGCAGCTAGCAGGAAGGACGGTAACTTTTTATTCTTTTTTTTTTTTTTTTTATGTACTGAGGATTGAACCCAGGAGTGGTCTACCATTGAGCTACATCCCCAACACTTTTTATGTTTTACTTTAAGACAGGGTCTTGCTAAGTGGCTGAGGCTGGCCTCGAACTTGTAATTCTCCTGTCTCCCCTCCCAAGTCACTGGGATTTTAGGCATAGCCACCGTGCTTTCCTGGAATGGTGACTTTTAAGGACTGAGTTACTCTGGGCATAGAGGAGTCTCCAGTTAATTTTTCCCTGAGTGCTAGGAGCTACTGAGGCCAGACTGGTTTCAAAGTGTGAAATAAACAAACATGCCCAAGGGACAGGCCCAGGGGAGGAAGCCCAGTCCCCACAGGTACCAATGAAGGGTGGGGAAGGTAGGAGGCAGCGGAGCACCCTGCAGGCTGCGCTGCTGGAAGCGTTGCTGTCCCTCCTCCCCCAGATGAGGACCCTAAGCAGCCCACCTGCTCTCTATGCTTCAGCTCCCCACCTGCAAATGGAGGTAACACCATCAGCACCTGCCCCAAGGGTCATGAGGTCAAGGGAGGAGATGCCCGTGGCTCTGGGTGTAGCTCATTGTTCCTGCCCCATAAACGCTGTGCTTGTGTTGGTGTGCAGCCTCTGGGCCTTTCCCAGCTGCACCCTCAGGGAAATCGCCGCTTGGCATTCTGAGAGACATACCCATTGAGGGCCTTCTTTGGAACAGTGCTGCCAAGCTGGGCTGGGTGGGTGCTGGCCATGCTGGGGTATTGGCTGTCAGGCCCTCCCAATCGGACAGGCTCCTGGGTCCCAGGTCCTGAGTCTCTTCCCAGTTCCCTCTCTGGAGCTGTGTGCTTCCCAGAGCCTGGAGCTCAGCTTTGACCATCCCAGGCTGCAGGTGGGGCACCCCTCTCCTGCCCAGGGGTGCTGGCTCCCAGGATCAGGCCTGCCCTCCCACTGGTGCTCCAGGGTCAGTACAGTAGGGTCTATCTGAGGACAGGTGCTACTTCCTCCTCCCTTTGGGGAGGCTTCACTCAGGGGTTAGGCAGCTGGCCATGGCGCTAGGGCCATCTCAGGAGGGCTAAAGTACTAAATTTCCAGGCCTGGGGAGGGAGAGGATTCGGAAGAGAGGCGAACCTAAGGAGCTGCAGCCAGAGACACATGGCATCCAGGCAGTGGCCAGTAAGGGAGGCTGCACCTGTCCAGGGCTGCAGGTGGGCAGAGTGGGGGCTGGCCATTCAGGAAGGGCCCAGTAGGCTCAGGTAGCACTGTGGCCCCAGGGCTGAAGTATAAGACAAAGCAGGACCCACTGGTGGAGACAGGGAGCCCAGCCAACCAGGCCTTCTCAGGGTGGAAGCTCAGATGTTGTGCCTGAGCGGCGGGGTCTGAGCCACACCAACCCCAGGGAGGTCCCTAGAACCACCCTCCCTACTCAGAGCTCAGGAGACGGGCCATGGGGACACCTGGAAGGCTCCCAAAGATGGCAGTGACCACCCCTTGTCCCTATAGCCTTGCCCTGTATGCTACAACTTGGATCCCCCAAGACCACCCGAAGCCCATAGTCCCCAGTCTTCCCCTCTGTAACTGGGCTTGCAGGGTCCCTGCAGCTTCTCTGGAAGCCATTTACACTGGGCAGATTGCAGCATGACTGTGATGGCATCTGTGGTCTCCTGACCTCATCAGCTCAGAGGTCTGTGGGAGGCTCCAGCCCACAGAGAGGCTCTGGGGCCCTCAGGGCCTGCAGGCAGAGTCAGCCAGGTAAACGCCCTGGGGTGGGGTGGGGTTGAGATGAAGGGTTGCGGGTCCCCCTGCGCCTCCTTCTTTGTCCTTATTGGAGAAAGTGTCCACAGGGAAAAGCCAGGTTGGGGAGGCTTAGGGTCTTGTTGGAGTAGGGCCTGGGCAGAGGTGTCAGCTCAAATACAGGACGTTGTAAAATTTGAATTTCAGGTAAGCGATAATTTTTTTGTCATATATCACGAGGATTATACTTGTACTAAAAATTATTTGTTATCTGAAATTATAATTTCACAAGTGATTTCCTAATTTGGCAACCCTAGGCCTGAGGTTGGTGGGGTAAAAAAGATGTGTGGCTGATAGAGAGGGAATGTTGGCCCCCAACACAGAGGACCACAGAGGACCACAGAGGCAGGGTGCTTGCTGGGAGCCCCTTCTCAGGTGCATGCAGGTCCCGACCCTGCTCCGCATCCATGTTAGCCTGCTACTCTCTCCTGCTTTGTTCCTCCCGCCTCCCTCTGATCCAGGGGTTCTCGACTCTGGGGGTCCTGCAGGTACCTAGGGGACTTAAAATAGGTCCATGTTGGGGCCCTGCCTCACAATGGAATCCCAGGGTGGTTGGGCTTGAACAGTGGAGTGTTAAAGACAACGCTCCATAGAATGACCATGTGGTGAGCAATCCCGCCTCTGGTAACACACCCCAAAGAACTGGACACTGGGTCTCAAAAAGATGTCTGTACCCTGTGTTCACAACAGCATAATTCACATAGCCAAAAGGTAAAAACCACCCAGGTGTGCACTCCTGGACAAATGCGTAGAGAAACTGTGGTCTACCAGATACCATATCCAACCATGAAAGGGAGAGGAGCCGGCTGGACAGAGGGCTTTCCACTGAGCCAAGGCAGTGGACACAGAAGGACAGACCCATGATCCCCTGTGAAGTCCCTGAGCAGCCACACTCATAGAGATGGAAGCAGACTGGTGGGCGCCAGGGGCTGGGGAGGGGGACAAGGAGTTGTTCAGTGGGGACAAAGTTTCGGTTCTTCAAGGTGAGGGTCCTGCAGGTGGGGGCGATGGTTGCTTGACAACGTGAATGTAATACATGCTACTGAACTGCATTCTTAAATGCTTAAAATGGTCAATTTTATATTATGCATATTTTGTAACAACTTAAAAACTGAATTAAAAAAATGCTCTAGATAATGTCCTTCAGAGCTGAGAAGCACTGAGCTGGGCCCTTCACCCTCCTGGCCACCATGCCATCACCAATAGCAGCAGAGTTGTCACCTGGTGGGCACACCTGAGAATCCACCCCAGGGCCACACCCTGACTGCCTGGCCTGAGAGCACAAGTGTCCCCTGGTGTCCTGGCCTGAGGCACTAATGGTCACTGCTTCCTTTTGAACTCTACTCTTTTGGATTTTTAGATAGTTGCTAGCTTAAAAATCAAGGTGTGACTTCCACATGACATGGTGAGTTCAATGGCTTTGTACACACCTATACACCTGTGGAAATACCACTCAGTACCGTAGAGGGCTCCAGTGAGAACCGTCCCCCAGGGGTAACCACTGTTTTGGCATCTTTTGTTTTAGATTGGTTTTGCCTGATTTCAAACTCCCCATAAACAGAATCCTAGATGGAGCTTTTTTTTTTTTTTTTTTTGTATGAAAATGTGAGAATCATCCACATGGGTGAAGGTGTCCATAGTTCGTTCCTTTTTCTTTTCTTTTCTTTCTTTTTTTTTTTTAATGGACACAACACAATGCCTTTATTTTTATATGGTGCTGAGGATCGAACCGGGGTCCTGCCCATGCTAAGGGAGTGCTCTACCACTGAGCCACAATCCTAGCCCAGTTTGTCCCTTTTTCATTGCTATATAGTATTTGATAGTACGAACATACCCCAGGTGATTGTGGGTGAAAACTGGTTGGTCCTACTATTTGGGGAGGTTATGAATGAAGCTATTAAGAACGCCTGGTGGGGGGCTGGGGATATGGTTCAAGTAGTAGCGCACTTGCCTGGCAAGCATGAGGCACTGGGTTCGATCCTCAGCACCACATAAAAATAAAATAAAGATATTGTGTCCACCAAAAGCTTAAAAATAAATATTAAAAAAAAAAAAGAAAGCCTGGTGGGCTGGGGCAGGGGCTCAGTGGCAGAGCGCTTGCCTAGCATGTGTGAGGCCCTGGGTATTGATCCTCAGCACCACATATAAATAAGTAAATAAAATAAAGGTATTTAAATAAATAAATAAAGGTATTGTCTATAACAAAATATTTTTTTAAAAGAGAATGTGTGGTAACTGTTTCTTGGCAGTCATAAATGCTCATTTCTGTTGGGTTTCAGGAGGAGAACTGCTGGGCCAGAGAGAATACGCATCTTGTTTTTGTTTTGTTTTGGTGCCAGGGATTGAACCCAGGGCACCAAAACTGAGACACATTCCCAGCCCTTTCTTTGTACTTTATTTAGAGACAAGGTCTGGTTAAGTTGCTTAGGGCTTTTCTAAATTGCTGAGGCTAGCTTTGAACTCGAGATCCTCCTGCCTCAGCCTCTTGAGTAGCAGGTATTACAGGCTTGTACCACCAAGCCCAGCTATAGTCCTAATTTTAATGAATTAATTCCAATATAGTTTCTAGCTTTCTTTTCTCTCTTTCTTCTTTTTTAATACTGGAGATCAAGTTCAGGGTCTTATGCATGCTGAACTATACTCCCACCCAATTTCCTTTTCCTTCTTTTTTTTTTAATATTTATTTTTTTGTTGTAGTTGGACACAATATGTTTATTTATTTTATTTATTTCTATGTGGTGCTGAGGATCCAACGCAGGGCCTCACGTGTGCTAGGCGAGCGCTCTACTGCTGAGCCACAACCTCAGCCCCAATTTCCTTTTCTTTTATGGTCAGTGTTATTTGTGTTTAGTTTTTACCTAGCCCAAGTTCATAAAGACATTCTCCTACACTTTTTTTCTAAAGGATCTATTGTTTAGACTTCACATTTATGTCGATAGTCCAGCTAAAATTAATTTTTATGTACGGTGTAAGTTGGGGGTCAAGGTTTATTTTGCCCATGTGGGCATTTCATTGGCTGGCACAATATACTGCGAAGAACATCCTTTCTCGCTGAATTACTGTGGTGCATTGTCATCCGCCGGGTGACCGATGTGGGTCTGCTTCTGGCTCTCGGTGCACTGCCCTGGTCTATC